AAACACAAAACCCAAAAATGTGTGCCTCCCTGAACCCCTGGTTAGCTCAATTCCCACCCTACTCTGCTGCATTCCTGTTAGTTTATTATGGGAATCCCTCCAGAGTTTTTTTTCTTTTCAATTACAGTTAATGTTTAATAGCATTTTGTATTAATTTCAGGTGTACAGCATAAAGGTTAGACAATCATTTATTTTACAAAGCTTTTCTCATTCCGGAGTTTTAAAACCAAATGCAAATAGTGCTCGCTTCGGCAGCACATATACTAAAATTGGAACGATACAGAGATTAGCACGGCCCCTGCGCAAGGATGACACGCAAAGTCGTGAAGCGTTCCATATTTTTTCTCTCATTCTATTTTATACTCCAAAATAATAACTTATTCAGCCCTGGCTGGTGTAGCTCAGTGGATTGAGCACAGGTCTGCCAACCAGAGAATGGCGGTTCGATTCCCAGTCAGGGCACATGCTGGGGTTGCAGATGAGTTCCCTGCAGGCCAGTTCCCAGCAGGGGACGCACGAAAGGCAACCATACATTGATGTTTCTCTTCCCCTCCCCTCTAAATATAAATAAATAAAATATTAAAAATAAATAAATAAAAATAAAAATAGAATTCTAATTACATTTAAAAAAATAACTTATTCAATTTATTCCATGTATATATGTTTGGAAATTGATCATGTATGAACCCAAATTAAAGAAATAATTTGATGCATCTTTAACTTAAAATATGGAAGCCTAAAAAGCTTTAAATAAATTTTAATTAATGTAATAAATAAATAAAACCAAATGCAAATAAATATGTAGACTTTTATTTTCATTCCTTATTTACCCAAAAGGTAGTATAATAAGTGCTAGCCTGCACTTGCTTTTCCTACTTAAGATGACAGGGAAATTTCTACAAATGAATAGTCATTCTATTTTTTTTTATCAAGTATTTTTTTTTAAGATTTTATTTATTTATCTTTAGAGGGGAAGGGAAGGAGAGAGGGAGAGAAATATCAATGTATAGTTGTCTCTTGTGTGTCCCCTGCTGGGAACTGGGCTGCAACCCAGGCATGTGCCCTGACTGGGAATCGAACCGCGATACTCTGGTTCGCAGGCCCGAGCTCAATCCAGTGAGCTACACTAGCCAGGGCTCATTCTTTTTTATAAATATAGCAGCCTGTGTTAACTGGGGGTCCATGGGGAAACTAGGCCTTACTGGAAATGATTCGGGTGGTTGTTTTCTCACTGTGGGCCAATGAGGGAATGTAGCTGAGGCTGAGCCAGGGCATGAAAAAAGTTACTTCCTTACAGAGGCTGGATACCTGGAAGCATTAGGGCTTAATTCTCCTGTAGAATTATTGTCCAGAAAGTCTAGCATTTTTTGTGAATATCATAATGTATTTAACCCATTCTTTCTAGTTATTTCAATTTCAAACAAAGCAACAAAGGGTAACACCTTGCATACGCATTGCTTCACTTGTGTGCAAGTGTGTTACAAAAGTGTAATTGGTGGCCCCCAGGGCACATGCCTTGGTCATTTCAGTGGACATAGCTAGTAGATGTTATACTGTGTTTCATGTTCAGTGCACAATAATAATGTCACCTACAGGGATGTTATCAAAATCAAACCTTGTAGCTTGCATTTTCTTTTGTTATAAGAAATTGGCATTCTAGAAAGTTTGCTGGCTCCTGTGTGTGGAAGATGGTACTGAAGGGTTGAGAATAGAAGAAGCTGGCAAGGGGTAGTGGTGGCTGGATCAGCATGTGACCTCTGAAACAGGAGAAGTGGAGAGATGGGGGCTGACCCAGAGGCCACGTGACTAGGGGGCTGGAGGGTTGTGGCTCTGGTGGCGGGGGAGGTGGAGGGGCCGGAGCACACAATCCCTGTGCTTGTGAGGCAGGCAGAGTGGTCTCTGCGGCCATGCAGGGGCACTTCTAGCAGCAGGAATGCCTTGGTAATCACCACTGCCGCGTGTCCCCTGCCCCCAGGCAGAAGCTGCATGAGGCGGATCTGGAGCTGCAGCGGAAGCGCGAGTACATTGAGGAGCTCGAGCCACCTGCCGACAGCAGCAGTGAGCGGGGTTTGGCAGTGAGTCCAGTGGGGGGAGACCTGAGCTTGACGTGGAGCTGAGAGGCCACCTTGTTCCTGCAGCAGCCAGGCGTATCGAGGAGCTTCAGGACAGCCTGCAGAAGAAGGATGCAGACTTGCAGGCCATGGAGGAGCGGTACCGCCGCTATGTGGACAAGGCACGCACGGTGAGGATGCTGAGTGACCTTCTGCCCAGGCTGCTGCCTCACTGGGTCACGCCTCCCACCAGTTTGCACATCTGTGCTCCCTACCTCCACACCTATCATACCACATCATGTCACAGACTTCTCCTCCACCACCATGAGTTGTCACACTTAATACACCCCGATGCATTGAACAGCTTGTGAGGCCAGGGCCAAGGCTGTGTCTTCCCCAACCCCTAGGTCATACAGACCCTGGAACCAAAGCAGCGGCCACCCAGACGGGCGCTTCCGGAACTCCATACCTTGAGGACGCAGCTCCGGGAGCGGGAAGTCAGAATCCGGCACCTGGAGGTGGGTGCCCTCATCCCCGCTCACTGCCCCCAGCACATCCAAGCCCTTGACTGTTGCCTTCTTGGCAGATGGACTTTGAGAAGAGTCGAAGTCAGCGAGAGCAGGAAGAAAAGCTTCTCATCAGTGCCTGGTATAATATGGTGAGTGTAGCACCACCGGGGCTGGAGTGTTAGGGGCATCCCCTGGGCTCATCTGACGTCAACCACACCCCTCCCTGCAGGGCATGGCCTTCCAGCAACGAGCAGGGGAAGAGCGGGCACCCGCCCACGCCCAGTCATTCCTGGCCCAGCAGCGCCTGGCCACCAACGCTCGTCGTGGACCGTTGGGACGCCTTGCATCCCTGAACATGCGCCCCACCGACAAGCATTGATGTACCTCAGGATCCTGCCACCTGCCAAGCCAGTCAGGGCTCGATGCACCCTGGATTCCCCCAGCTCCCCTGGGGCCCAGCATCTTGCCTGGGTCAGCTGCTTGAGAGCCTTGAGGTCATGACCTGTGCCTTTTCCTCTCCCAAATGAGATAAGGGTCCAGGACATGGCGGGAGGCAGGTACGGGGCTGTTCTTTTTAGCAATGTGATTCTTAACCTTAATATTCTCCCTGGGGTTAATGAGCTGCCAGGGTAGAAAGAGTGACTTTATATTTGAGAAGAAAAATAATAAAGACTTTCAATCTGTTCTGGCTGGACTCTGGTGAGGGGAAGAAAATGGGCCAGGGATTCAAACCACTGCTTTTAAGAAAAGTCTGGCTTGTGGTCTCACTAAAGTGTGAGTAAGTGATAGTACCCAGTGAGGGCTGAGAATCATATCTGTGTTTGTGTAACTGTGCATGTGTGATGGGTTTTGAAGAAGCTTCAGACAAAAATCCCTGCCTTATGAAGTTCTTACGTCCAATGAGGGGAGACAGACAGTAGAGGAAATAGATCGAAGTTTGATGTGAGGAGCGCGATAGAGAAAAATAAAGCAAGCAGAAGTGATGGCGTTGCATGAGGTGGATTTGGGAGGTGGTGATTTTTTAATTTTTTGAATTTTGATTAAAAGTTTATTCGAGCCAGCCCTGACTGGTGTGGCTCACCGGATTGGGTGTCATCCCACAAACCAAAAGGTCACTGGTTTGACTCCCGGTCAGGGCAAGTACCGGGGTTGCGCCCAAGCCCCAAGTTGGGGGTGTGTAAGAGTCATTTGATCCATGTTTCTCTCACACACGGATATTTCTCTCCCTCTCTTACTCCCTTCCCCTCTCTCTAAAGATAAATAAAAAATATTTTTTGAAGTATTTGAGCCAAATTGACAACATGCTGGAGAGCAAGATCTCAAATGCTTCTGGGGGTGGTGATTTTTAATAAAAGGCCAGCAACAAGAAGACCTTACCAAGGAAGTGACATAATTTAAATAGAGACCTGACAGAAGGGAGGAAGGGGCTGCGTAGATGTCTGGGGAAGAGCAGTCCAGCCAGATGGAACAGCATGTGCAAAGGCCCCGAGATGAGACCTTGCTCGGTGGGTTAGAGGGGCAGTGTGGAGTCAGACGGGAGAAGGGAGGAGACGAAGACAGGGAGACTGTCCAGGGCCTCCTGAGCTGTGTGGAAGACTTTAGTTTTTATTCTGAGTGAAGTGAGAGTCACGGAGGGTTCTAAACAAAGGAAGGATGTTACCTGATTCAGGTGTTCATAGGCTCCCTCTGGCTGCTGTGGGTGGAACTGACTGGGGTGTTAGGATCAGAGCTGGGAGACAAGTACAGAAGTTACTAGTCCAGCTGGGTGGGTGCATGACAGTGGGGGCTCTAGCCATGGTGGGGGCCCCAGAGGAAGGAGGAATGGCTGGAATCCGGATACAATTTGGAGACCAAGCCAATGGGATTTGCTGCTGGGTTGATGTGGAGGGGTGAGAGAAAGAAAGGAGTTAGTGACTCCAGGTTTTGGCCTCATTATTTGGAAGGACAAAGCCAACAAAGAGGCCGGGGAGCCAATGGGGAGCAGGTTCAGGGACGTCTTCCCAGGTGCCTGGAAGATCCCCACAGGGAGACGCGGAGAAGACAGTTGGGTCTAGAAGTGGGGGAGGGGCCCCGGCCGGACTTCTAAAAAGGAGTCATTGGCATGTGATTGAATTAAGACCAGGAGCGCTAAAAGGGTAACTGAAAATTCAGGGATTTGGGGTGGAGAGGTTGCTTACAGAACCATAAACCAAGGCTGACAAGAGGAAGCTGTGGTCCTGGGACTGTAACTAGACCATTGATAAATGGATAAAGTTGTGTGCACTGATGCCATTTCAGAGAGCAGAGTTTGGGATGAAGTATCAGGGCATCAGGAGATGCCCTGGACAATTTCTCAGATCTGACTTAGCACAATGCCTGGCAGGAAAAGTCAGGCTAACAACGTTTGAGTAGAAACCACTAACATTTTATTGAGCACCTATTATGTACCAAACACTTGAAAGCTATCATTTCATTACTATCCTCACAACTCAAAGATGTAGGCATTCATATCCCATTTTAGGAAAACAATAAAGGCAGGACACACTGAAAGAGGCCTCTCAGGTAGTAGGGAGTGGAAAGAAGAGCTGGTGGGAAGGATGAGCCGATCAGCAGCTGAAAGAATTACCTGCCCTTAGTTCAGTGCCTGGCCCACAGGAGATGCTGGACAGGTGTGAAAGCAGGAGCACAGGTAGCAGGAACTGGTCAAAAACCAGCAGGCGAAATCCACAGGCGGCTTACGCAGACCCCTACCTCTGCCTGGGTGCGGTGTGGGGTCTTGGTTCCCTGTTCTTGGGGATCTTGGCCCCAGGGTCTCAGGCGAGACTCTCCTCCTCCTCACCAATGGGGCTGGGCAGCCAGGGTGGAGCCAGCCCCCGAGGCACTGGCATGGGCATTGTGGTGAAGGGCTCAGCAGCAGGCCCCAGGGCTGGCGGCTCAGGCCCAGTGGAGGGCTCAAGGTCTGGCTCTCGAAGGCTGGAGTCCAGTATTAGGTCCCCGCAGCCGCACTCCGAGGCCGCGCCATCCAGGGCGCTCGTGCAGCTGGCAGCCACGGATGCCTCTGACACGCAGCTGTTCTTGCGGCGCAGCAAAGACAGTCGCCGGCCCAGCAGGCCTCCTGCAGCCATGCCCGGGCCTACCGGCAGGAGGCGCTGCAAGAAGTCCATAGGCGCCTCACCCAGTGGAACGTCCACACCATCTGGCCGCTGGAATTGCATGTCCTCTTTGGCCAACCTATGGCACAAACAGCGGGTCAGCAATACGACTTCACCCCTCTCCTTGGTTGAAAGACCTGAGACAGACGCCTGCTGCTTTTCCTAGCTCCACCCACACATTTGTCTCACCTACCCCAAAATAACTTGAGCCCTCACCCGAGTGCCTGGCCTTATCCTTTGGCTCTGATTTTGTTCAGACTTAGGACTCAAAGCCTCAGTTGTGGCATTGCATCACCTCTGGCCAACTGTCCAGTCTTCATACACATTAGCTCTTAGCTCTGCCCACAGTTAGTGGCCTGGTCCCAGACCTTGACCCCAATCCCTATCCTCATAGACTTCAGCTCTTAGACCCAGATCTCTAGTCTAGCCCTTAGCCCTGTTGTGGTGCCCTATAGCCTCCTGAATCAGACATTTCCTGCAGAGCCAGAAGCCTCGCCCCCAAGAGGCCCCGCCCACCCTGTTGGCTCACGTGATATCAAAGGTGGAGCCCTGGAAGGAGGGCTGCTGTCTCTGAAAAGCTGTGGCCGCGGTGTAGGGGGCTCGAGCCTCCGCAGTGTCCCAGTACAGGTCCTTTTCCAGCATGGCCAGGTCGTCGTACATCTCATCCACCGCCAGCATTGACACCTGCAGACGCAGACAGCAGGCTGGGTGGGAGGAGCGGTAGCCACAATCGGGCACCGTGGAGTGGACCCTTCGGGATGGGTAGGAGTGTGATAACAAAGAGAAGGATGGCTCAGCGGCCACGCCTGGTCAAGTCGTGGTGTGGTTGAGGCCAGGGCCACTTTGGAAGTCAGGGGATGGTCACAACTGAGTCTCACCTGGAAGTTGCGGTCGATGAGAAAGTTGGTCTCAAAATCGTCGTCATCCTCTCCAAAGGGGTTAATGAGCTGTTCTGCTACCTTAGTGGGCAGGAGGGAGATAAGCAGAGACCTGAGAACCCTTGCCCGCTCCACTCCTGGAGTCCCGGCCCGGTGGTGTTGGGGGGGCGGTACACACCTTAAGCCAGCCTGCATAGAAGAAGAACTGCAGCAGAGTGAAGACTGGCACAAACAGATCAAGGTTGTGGTCTTTGTAACCCTGCGCAGGGTCGAGGAACTGGCGTCCGATGAGGCAGGCCAGGAAGTAACTGTACACGGCGATGGTCACCACCTGGGGGAGGGCGGCTGCCGAGTCAGGGCTCTCGGAGCCTCAGGGGTTGTGGAGAGACCAGGGCTCAGATAGGGAGTCACTGCGATGGGATCTTGGCTGGCCCTCAGTTTACCCTGGAGGCCAGTGCACCTGACAATGGATCTAAATGGGCACGGTGGGGTTACCTGAGTGTAGACAAGGGGTACGCTTATCCAGTCGTAGTGAAAGAGCATCGAACACTTGCCCCGGAACACAGTCAGCTCCTGGGGACGGATATGAGGTATGAAGGGGCCTGACTTGTGAGCTCACATGTGGGGATTAAGTGTGGGTACCTGGGACAGAGGTGGCTGACTGCCTGGGAAGGTGATGACTTCTGAGAGCTTTGGGGGGTGGTGGTGGTTATTTAGTGGTGACTGTATACCTGGGGTGGGAGCCCCGTGGAGATGGATGCGCTCTCGGGGGCTGCTAGGAAAGGGTGTTTCCAATCAGCCTCGCGGGGGGCGTGAGAAAGGCCGTCGTCTGACACAATCCCAGGAGGGTGGGGTACGATTTCTCCAGTATTTTTATGAATGACCAGCTGGTGAGCTCACCTCAAGCAGCAGTTTGAGGGCGCTGTTGTCGCGGATGCGGCCCTCACGCCTGGCCTGTGCCGCCAGGTTAGAGAACCAGACGCAGGGCACCCAATACTTGTTGTAGGATGAGTTCAGGTTCTCAAATTTTTTGCGTTCGTCGCGGGTCATAAACCCTGGAGGAGTGAGCTTGGTGGTCACTTGCCCACCTTTCCGTCCTTACTAAGGTCACTCGCCCTGCCCTCCGTCATGGCCCTGTGTTCCCCTCCCCCCCCCCCCCCCCCCCCAACCCCGCCTCAGTTCCAGCCGGGGCCTCACCAGCCTCCACCACGTGGTCTATGGTGGGGAAGCGCTTGAAGACCGCGGTGCTGACGGAGCGCAGGATGAGCACTGCCGAGAGCCCTGCGTAGCGCATGAGCGTGCGCCGGTAGAGCCGGCCGCGCTCGTCGCGTCCGTGCACGGTGCCTGATACCACGCACATGAGGGCATCGGGCAGTGGCATGCAGAGGTACTGATTCCACCAGCGGTGTACCACTAGGTTCACGTAGAAGCCTGCGCAGAGCCGGGAATGAGGGGCTCAGTGGGAACACTCCGGCCAGGGAGGGGTTCGGGGGCCCAGGTCGTGGGAAGAGGAGGGAAATAGGGTCTGCATCAGCGACACGGGGCAGGGTCACTCTGACCGCACGGGGCCACTTGGGCTGGGAACTTGGGGGTCTAGCCCTGAGGTCAGAGTTGCTGGAGCAGTCTGGGTTACTCTGGCTACTAGGAAGTCACCTGGGATGGGATGGGGCACTGGGATTCCTGTATGGGGGCAGAGACGCAGGGCCCTTGGGCAGGTTTTCCCCTCCGCAGGGAGACCCTGAGCCAGAGATGTGTGCAGGGGCTGCGCACAGGATCTATGCCAAGGGCTCTGGAGCAGGCTGATCATCTGCCTGGGCAGAGAACAATGGGAAGGAGGCTGGGGGTTGGTACTTGTCAGAAATTCTCCCTGAGCTGGACTTGAGAGGATGGGTTCACATGAGGTCCCCGGAGCCCAGGATATGGGGAGTGGGGCACTAGTAATTTTATGAAGACACAGGGAGGAGTCCCTGAGATGCCCAGGAGTAAACATATGGGTGACATGGTATTCTCCCAAAGGGGCACTGTAATCAGGGGATAGCCAAGGGGCCACAGTTGGCATAGAGGACGCAGACAGGGGGGTCAGTGGGGCTGGACTTGAGGGGGCTGTCAGAGGGGCAAGCATGGGGGGCTCTCCAAAAGGAATGAATGGGTTTCTCCGGGCGGAGGAATGGGGAACTGGGAGCGCGGCGCACCGGGACACACCCAGCACGAAGGAGACGGGGATGAGACTGGCATACTGGTCGCAGTAGACGACAAGCTTCTCAAAGTAGCGCTTCTGCTCCTCAGTCAGCACGAAGCTGCAGGGAGGGGAGTGTGTCACGGGCAAGCCCACTCAGCTGCCAATCTCTTCCGGTGCCCCACACCCGGGCCTCTTCCCTGCCCACTCTGACCCGCATGCTCACCCACGGCCGCCTCACCGATAGGCAGCGCTCAGCACCATGTAGAGCCCGAGAAAACAGAGCAGCTCCCGCCACAGAAGTTTGTAGATGCTGCCGCGCCACAGCAGTAGCAGCTGTGAGAAGCCGCCAAAGCGTGCGTTGGCCACACGGGCTGTGTAGGTGACGGTCATCGCTGCACCAGCTGGTGGGACCAGAGAAGGTGAGGCCAGACCCGACCCCCACCTGTGACCCAGGAACAGGGGACCTGGAGGGAGGGGCTGGGGGCAGCGGGCGGTGGTAGAGAGGAATGGGGTGACTCAGCTCAACATTCCCTCCCTGCCCAGCCACCTCCTCAGTCCAGCCTCCTCCCAGCCTCGCTCAGTCCCACCCCCAGCTGCCAGCCCTCCCTACGCCTTCTCCCGCAGGCCACCCCCTTTTTGGACTCTTGCTCTCCACATCTTGTGCCTACCTCCTCAGCCCCTCTCACCAGCCCCAACTGCCCAAACCCTTGAGTTAACCAAGGTGTCTTCGATCCCATCCCATCCACATTACCTGGGCTCCATCTGAAACCTCCCCTACACCCCGAGTCCCCGGTACCTCTGTTTCTGGATTTTCAGGGCTCTGACTGCCCCCATACACCATTCCTGTCTCTCATATCCCACCTCTGTCTCCCTCCACTCCCCTAGCTCCCAATCTCTGCCCTTCCTCCACTACCACACTCTTTTGAAGACCTACAAAGCCCTATGAAGCCCTGTCCTCAAGACTTCAAAGTTCCCAGTTCCCCTCCCATACACCCCCGTGCCTCAGGCAGGCCCCTTCTCCTGCACAGCTGCCCCAGCCTATCCACCCTCCCCACTTCATTATTCTTCCCCTTCTCCTGGGTCCACCTTCATCTTCCCTCTGTTCGTTGTCCAGCCTTCTAAGCTCTCCACTCTGCACTCTGAGGATTCTGATGGATTCATGCCTGATTCCTGTCCACAGGCCCACCTGTCCTCAGAGTCTCCTATTCCCCTGGACCTGGGCCCTTCTCACCTGATGGTGGGTGCAGGACACACAGGGACAGGGACAAGATGGGCAGGTGGCTTCAGCACTGGGTGGGGCTGAAGCCAGACCCTGGGGTGGGAGGGGGCTGAGGAATGAGCACGGATGGTCCCCCCCCGGCCTTCCCTTGAGCTGCAGCCTCAGAACTTTGGAGAAGTCTAGCCAGTTCGTTACCTGGAGCAGGGGGAGAAATCTCCCAGGCCTCCCTTGCTCCACCCCATCTCTGTTCCTGGCATTCACTGACAGGTTCAAGGAATCCTAGAAGTAGAGCTGGGGTTGGGGGCAGGGATTGTGTCCTTTCCAGCCTTAGACACACACACACACACACACACACACACACACCCACCCACCCCTCAATGGGGCTGGTTCACTTCACAGTCCCTTGTAATCATACAGTCACAAAGATGTACTTAGATACACACACCACAGACCCAGGCACGGATTCAGCTTTCCTCAACACCGACAGAACCATGGTGATCCACAGGGCAGTAGGTCTGTCACAGAGAAAGTCACAAAAGTCACCTAGCTCTACCCCCTCCAACATTCAGGTATATGGCAGATGGATCCTATCCCAGCAGGCTCCCAGCCACCAGCCACCCAGGAGCACATGGGCAGGAGCCCAAGGCCCAGCATTCCCCCCTGATTACACCATATAACAAAGACACATTGAAGATCACACCATCAGCAACGTGCAGACCCCAGCCAGAGCCCAGAAAGCCTGCACACACAGGTGCGCACCATCCCACAGAGGGCAGTGCCACAAATTCATTCCCGACCTTCCCTGCACAAAGATACACCCATGGTCGCACACCAGATGTGGGAGTGCCTGCCCTCTCTGCAACCAACTGCACATACTCCTGGGGTCCCTTAGATCATCAGTGTTGCAAGGACACACACAACAGTGACCCCTCAACAGTCCCGCAGACCCTGAGGGGCACATCCAGATGGGGTCACATTCATAAACTCTCATGAAACTCACCTGCATTTGCACACTGATAAGTAAAGACACCCCTCCCCTTGCCTCCTCATTGCGGTGTGCAGCCCCCCCCCCATATACACACACCTCAGATCTCAGATCCTCTCACGCAAGCTGGTGTGCCATGAACACACAAGGTTGGGGACATGAAAACTCATCCCTGCATTTGGCATGGATGGAGGACAGACATTAACTCCTTCACAGACACGCCCACAAAGGGGTCACTCCCAGTCTGGCACGAACAGCTTCCCTACCCCCCCATCTTTCAAACATGCAGCCTGGTGTGGGAGTGCTGGAGGCTCAGAAGTCCACCCTGTGTGCTAGAAGTGCAGACGTCTTTATGTGACCCCACCCAGGATCCCTGCCAGCCAGGATGCTTTGTTCCAAGGCTGGCAGATGCCTGCCCCACCTGGGATAATTAGGAACCAGCCCAGGCTGGCCATCCCTAAACCCGCTCCTCTGCTGTCCGGCTGCTGGACAGCCAATAAAAGTGGACGAGGGGTGGCACTGCTAGCTATGGGCCCCGGGGAGGCGTCGAGTTGATGAGGCAGGCTCTATTCCTGACCAGAGTCCCCCACTCTCTAGTGTGTGTATGTTTTAAAAAAAAAGATTTTATTTATCTTTTTTAGATAGAAGGGAAGGGGGGAGAGAGGGAAAGAAACATTAACACATCGTTGCCTGTCCTGTGCTCCTACTGGGGACCTGACCTGGCTTGCAACCCAGGCATGTACCTTGATTGGGAATCAAACTGGTGACCCCTTGGTTCACAGGCTGGTGCTCAATTCACTAAGCCACACCAGCTAGGGCTAGGGTATATCTTTTTAGAAAAAAATATTTATTTTTAGAGAGCGGGAGAGAAACATCAGTGTTTGTTTCTCAAGCACCTCCTACTGGGGACCTGGCCTGCAACCCAGGCATGTGTCCTGACTAGGTATTGAACCAGTGACCCTTTGGTTCACAGGCCAGTGCTTAATCCACTGAGCTACATCTAGGATATATCTTTATACACAATGCAGTCAAATTCCTCTTCCTCCCTCCTTGTGCTCATTCCCTCCTCCAGTTCAGTGTCCCCACGCAGTTCTGACTGCTGGACCTCTGCTGGGCTAGGGGCAGATTGCCCAAGCTAGTTCACATGCTTAAATGTAACAACGAATAACACTTTGGCAGGTAAATGCCTGGTGCTCTCATAAAGAGGTTACTTATTTCATCTCATTGAGTCCTTACAACCAGGCTTATGAAATTCACACTCGTCATTCCCACTGCCTGGGACTGAGGCAAAAATGACACAGCCCTTTCAGTGCACAGCTGGGATTTGAATCCAGGTGTTTCAGCTGGGAACCTGGGGTCTTTGCCATGGGCTGCACCACTGTTTGTTTACAAGTGCCACCCGGACATGCTCACACTTGCTTGTGTACACCTAGTGCAACCGAGTCAAGGACACGTCTGGGCTGGTGGCTGGGTTCCCTTTACATGCATGCACACACACCCTGACACACCCAGATCCAGGGTGTGCAGTTTGAACACCACTTCCTGACTCATACACATCCTCAGGTACCTCTTGTACATTTTTCCCTGCCCCCCCCCGCCCCCCGCAACAGCTCTGGCTTGGAACCTGTAAATGCTGGAGGTCTTCCCAGTCTTGTCTCCCTGGGGGGAGTGAATGTGGCTGTCCAGGCAGTGGCAGAGGGAGGAGTGAAAGGGATAAAGGGGCCTGCTGGGTGCCTGGCAGGCTGCCATGCTGACCCTTCAAGGGTCAGGTGAATCTGTCCTATGGCTCTTGAATGGCCGGCCACACTTATGTCTCCATGTTAGGGATGAAGCTTGGACTACAACATGACACTCAGAGATGACTACAGGAAGGACAAGACTTCAGGGTCTCTCTGGCTTGGGTCCTCTGCCATCCTGTGTCCTAATCTGTATCTGAGTGTAGCTGTGCTGGGAGGAGCTGATGTCACCCCATGGGGGCAGGAATCGGGGGTGGAGACTGTTAATCCCCAGTCTGGCCAGTCCAATCTCTGCCCAGGGTGCCCACTAATCTCCAAAGCAAACAGCAGGCAGTGCTGGGCCGCTGCCGGCCTAATCTGCTCCCTACCAGCCTGGAGCTCTCCAAGAGGCCTCCTGGTTCCCACGCTCTGAGCCTCAAAGGAAGAAGATATATATCCCTTCTGCTCCACGCATTATGGTAGGGACACCCCTACCTATAGAGAGCTAAAAATATCACCCCTTACTGAAGACACCCACCTTTGTTAGGTCTCATCACTGTGCCCCTTTAAACATGACATCTTTGTGTGATATACAACCTGTGCAACTCTATGGAGGCGCTGACTCCCAAACCCTTGTATGGTTTAAGATAATTTTTATTGAGGTGGGAGGGGCAGGGAGAGGTGGGGGCAGCTACAGCCTCCCAAGCCCCACCAGGGGGAACAGACCCCTCCCTGTCTCCCACCTTCTGAATGGCTCCCCCTGTACTATGGGGGGACTCTGTGCAAACTCTGCCCCAGTGGGGTGGAGGGTGGGTGGAAATGGTAGCAGCTGGGGCTGGCAGCGGTGCTACTGGGCGCTGGGTGGCTTGTAGGGCTCCAGGAGGAGGGCAGAGAAGGTGTTGACCTTGTCTGCCCCGCGCACCTCATGGGGCAGCAAAGGCAGCTTCACAATGTGGAAGTCTTCGTACAGGTCCTCCATCTGTGGCCAGGGCAGGGGGGCAGAGGTCAGAGGTCAGGGGGCTGGATGCAGGGCAGGGACAGAATACGGGCAGATTGAAGGGATTAGGCTGGGGGCCTCCCTGGGTCAGAGGCTTCACAGGGTCACTGGTATGAGTGCCAGTGAGGTCAGAGATCCCTGGCTGGACCACCGGTTCCCCAGGGCCAGAGGTATCCAGGCCAGCCTTGCCACAGTCCTTCAGTGCCAAACTAAGGGGAAAGGTCTGAGGTAGGGTGAAAGGTAGGAGGCTAGGGCAGAGGTCAGAGGTTGGATGAAGCAAAAAGAACATGGAGTAAATGGCTGGCAGGCTGTGGCTAGGCTGGGCCCGGTCCCCACTGCCAGGATCAGAGGTGTGAGGGCTGAATGGGTAGTTGGGCATGCACACCTGGTCCAGGTACTTGGCCTGGATCTTGTGGCGTGCCTCACACATCTTGCAGGGCTTCTCGGGGTCTGGGAAGACGAGCTGGTTGACAATGATGTTGTGTGTGTCAATCTTGCACTTGGCCAGCTCCTGGATCAGCCGCTCTGTCTCATACAGGGACAGGAACTCAGCAATGCACACACAGATGAAAGTTGTCTGCTCCTGCAAGGCATGAGAGAGGACAGTGAGGGCCAAGTGCTATCCCTGTCCCCGAAGCCTCTCACTGTCCACCTGTCCCATGACTCACAGGGTCCTTGAACTGTTCGCTGACGGAGCGAATGACGGGCAGTGTCTCCTCCAGCTTGGAGGCCAGCTGGTCTGCGTTCATATCCCCCAGGCCCAGCATGTTGCACATCTGGGGGAAGAACAAGGGAGGGCTTGAGGCTTACCTGGGGCCATTATACCTCCTGGGTTGGGGGCTTACTACACACCCGGGGTGGATGGCTCCTAACACCTCCCAGTGGTTAAAGGTGTGGGCCCTTGAGCAGCCTGAAGGGGTCAAATCCCAGCTCTGCCTCTTCTGGGGGAACGTGGCCAGGTGGCCTAACCTCCTGAAGGCTTAATTTCCCCATACGTAGACCTTACCTCCAACAGCTGGTGTCCTAGATGAGTTAACACACGTCACATGCTCAGAACAGTGCCTGGCACAGAGTAAGTGCTCTACAAATATGACTACCTGAGGCACAGGTCCCCACTGGGGGACCACACACACCACCTGCGGGCTGGGATGTGTATGTTTGTCAAGGTGTCATGCTAATAATAATAAATGGCAACACTCACATGCTCTCCATTTAGACAGGCAAGGAAGGTAAAGCCCAGAGAAATTAAATGACTTGCCTTTGTCACACAGCTATGTCACACTAGAGTGCAAAGCATTTGAACCTGGGCCACCTGGCTGTGAAATATGTGCTTTCAAGCTCTGTCTGGGGCACCCAGTAGGCGGGGGTGGACACACTAAGTCCCCTAGAGGGGGAACAGTCCTCCCATGATGAAGAGCCACCCCACCTATTGGGAACCATGGACCCAGAGGGACTGTGTGTGGGAAAGGCCTTTGTCACCGCATATCTGGGGGCCTGGGAACTGGCTCCTACTCAGGGGAGACCTGGATGCCCTGGGGCCCTGCCTGCCTGTGAGATGAAGGGGCTGATCTGGTTCTTGATCTGCATGAGGCGGCCTAAGCCCCGCTCCACGATGGTGGGGAAGTTCAGCAGCCTCAGCGTGTGGCCCGTGGGCGCCGTGTCAAACACCACCACTGAGAAGTTCATGCCCTTCACCAGCCTGCAGGGAGATGACGGTCAGGCCCACTCTGCTCCTTCTTCCATCCCAGCCCCAGGCAGCACTAGGCCGCTGGACCTGACCTCATAACCTCCGCATAGCTCATGGCCTCGTCGATGCCTGGGAAGGCGCTCATGGCTTCCTGCATCATCTTCTTGCCCATGCTTAGCATGTTGTCCTCCTCAAAGAACTCGTCAGGCAGCTCTGCCACGCCAAGGCTGGGGTCAATCTCCTGGGGGGGGGGGGCAAGGGATTGAGACTCAGGCTGCTGCTGCTGCTCCCAGGGCTTCCTCACCTGAGTGGGCACCAGGGGAGCCCATAAAAGGCCCCAACACTGGCCTTGCATCAGACCCCTCAGGGAAGAGACTGGGAAGCCCCCTAGGTGTCATGGTCTTCCCTCAGGCACTAAGGTCTCCACACTGCACAAAGGGTCAAACTATTTCAAAAACAGATGGGAAACTGCAAATTTCGATCAGTGTCCCCAGAGGGAAGCCAAAGCCTGCTGCAGGGCTTTCGTCAGCTATTTCCCCCGCTCAGGCCCCTGACTGCTTCCAGGTTATCCCTCTAATGTGAGTTTTCCCTCACCATCTCATTTAACAGCTCACCTACAGCCCCTACTGCCCTGCCTTCCTTTCTCCTTAACACCCAGCCTTTCCTCACATGACTTACTAGTACATCACCTTTCTCGACCTTCCTCCTAATCAGAATGTCAGCTCCATGAAGGGGCCAGAAACTGTATGTACACAGGAGGCCCTCAACATGGATGTGGAATCTACAAAGGTATGACAATCCCCGGTGTCCCGGGCCAGTCCTGGACTTGGTGGCTTGTTCTCTATCCTACTATGGCACCTCATCTTGGTGGCTTCATGAGTTCTGTGAGGAAGCTCCCTTCACTGGCCTCAGAGGTCCATTTTCCCACATGAAGCATTGCCTACCCATCACCCCCCCCCCCCCCCGCCAAATCACACCCAGTTACATCCTTAACGGGTTATTCCTAGTTACTGCATCACCTCTGAGCTCACACATCCCATTCTCTGACCTGGGCCTCTTTGCCTCCTGCCTCAGTTATTTAAACCTCTTTGGGCCACCTTGTCCTCTCTCCCCAGACCCCAGTTCACTGCTGGTGTCCCTCTTGGCTGGCACCCATATCCAGTCCAGGCTTCTCAGGCTGCTGCTACAAACATTCCCTTTTCCCTCTGTGGTTGGCAAAGTCCCCATCCTGCTCATTGCTGGCTCTCTGGTGCGGCTGCACTGAGCTGAACATCAGGGGAACACATCTGACAAATAGTTCCCACCTTGCTCCCCATTTCTAATCACAAATTCTCATGGGCACTTGGCAGCCAGACAATCCACCCTTGGGAGTGTTTACGTCACGTCTTACCCCACGTCAAACCCCTTCTATCCCATTTTCTCCTTGTTCTCTGCTGGGAGGTGTGCCTCACCTGGGTCTCAAAGAGAAAGAAAAGCTATTGGCTGTCAATATCCTTATCTCTGGGAAACGTCCCAGTCCCCCCGCCTTGCCTCTGAATCCCCAGCCCTGAGAAGCCAAGCCATGGGTCTGTGCACTGGATGAAGCTCATTCCCACCTGAGGACAGTTCTCTGCTAGCATCCTCACTCCCTCCTGCAACATCACTTGTCCCTTCCTGTTGGAGCATTTACATCAGCATACAAATATACTCCAGCAACTCTTTTCTAAAAAAAGGAACCCTCCTTAACCCCTTTTCCATCTCCCTCCTGTGATGACTCCCTTTCTCAGCCCCCATCATGACGATCACTGTCTCTACCTTCTTGGCTCACAAAGGCCCGCTTTTGCCCCCTACTCCCAGGGTAGTCTCTTTAAAAAGTGATATGCCTCCTGGAGTGGACCTCTTTCTGCCCAAGTTCCTTTGTCCTCCTGGAGATCCAGAGTCCATACCTTCGGGCTCTCTCACCTCCTTGGTGGCTCCTTCTTGGCCTTCTTCACTATTGAACCCTAAATGTGAATGCGCTCTCAGATTGTTTCTGGGCTTCTCTGTTCTCTCACACTCTCCTTCACTTACACAGCTTTAAATACTGTCCTCGGGGCCATGACCCCCAAATTAATGTCAACTTCCTCTGAGTTCCAGGCTCACGTTAAGCACTTAGACGTTCAGTGGGCACCTTGGACTCCCTGCAGTCAAAATGGAATTCCTGATTTGTCTCTTCTAAACCTGCTCTTGTCTTAGTCTTCCCCATCCCAGCTGCTCAAGAGCCAACCAAGAGATGCACTTAATTCGTTTCTTTCCCTCGCACATTACAACCAAGATGCAGCACTTTATTTCCAAGAGACATCCTGATCTAGCCATTTCTCCCCCAACATTCTTCCTCCATCATCTTGGCTGCCATCATCTCTTGCCTGGTCACTGACCCAAGCTCCTTGTTAGTCTCCTTACTTCCAGCCTCAACTTACAATCCGGTCTCTGCATGGCAGCCACAGGGCACTTTTGAAAAAATGAATTTGGCTTTGACATTGCTCTACTCAAAACGAAAGGCTTCCTATTAATCTTGGAATCAAAGCCAAACTGCTCCCAGTAGCCTACAAGGTCCTACACCATGTGGCTCTGATTTGACCTCTCTGAAACCTGCCTCCCCTTGCACACTAAGGGCCAGTCACTTTGGCTTTCTTTCCACTCAACAAGCATTCCTCAGTCGTTTTCCTCTGGATATGGTGAAGGAGTGAAACTAGAGAGACAAAGGATGTAGACTAGGCAAGACACTGTAGTTGATGGCAGGTGTTCACAGGAAAGGCCTGAATGGGCCTCTGCCAGAGTGGGGAGCTGAGCCTTACTCTACTCACCATGGCAAAGAGGTTGTCATAGCCTTTGACCTTGGTGGGCACCTTGGAGAACTTCTGGTCAAACGCATCGGAGATGTTGTGGGCTGGGTCTGTGGAGATGATCAGAACACTCTCCCGCCCTTTGGACAGCTGGACTGCCAAGCTGCAGCTGGGCAAGGAAAAGGTCAAAATGCAGAAAGTAAGGGATCAGTCTCTACTTTCTAGGTCTGCATAGGCTGATGCAGGGCCCAGAAGCGGGGCCTTGAGAACATGGGTAATTGTGGGATCAAGCCTCAGTATCTTCAGAGGGACCCTCTTAGATCTTGAACTCCTGTACCTGGCTAGATTGGTGAGGTCCAGTCTGGCCTGATGCCTACTTCTTTGCTGGCACAGAGTGACATGGTCCAGGTGTGTTCAGTCAGCATAGATAAGGGGGTCCCTGGCATGCCCTCAATGCTAAGGAGTCTTTTGAACCTTCTGCTAAACTCAAGATGGTTCAGTCCACCTGCCCAGGATAATTTGCCCCAGGGACCCCTCCCCTTCCTACCAGCTTAATGGAACAGTCTAATCACGTTCCCTTTCCCCCTTCTTCCACCCCCACCCCGGCCCCACGTGGGCATAATGTAGAAAGGTTCGTCAGAGGAGGATGGCTTGCCTCTACCCCTACTCTGCGCTCACTCTGGCATGGTCCAGTTGATTGGGACATCTAAGTGTTCTGATGGCACCCGTGCACTGGGTTCAATGTGGTTCGGTCCCTGAGCCCCAACGCGGATGGTCCAACTGAGAGGTTCCCAGGCCTGCATTCAGGAGTTATCTTCCATTTGTTCCAGGAAACTTCAGGAGAGTACAACCCGGAAGACCCCGGCCCAGCCCCCGTGTCCGGCTCGTGGTGGAAGAGCCGGTCACTGGCCTCCCCTTTGCCCAGTGGTACATCCCACCGGTGTTCCCGGCCCCTGCCACAGGCTCTTTACCTGCAGGTGGTCTTGCCAACGCCACCCTTGCCCCCAACGAAGATCCATTTAAGGCTACGCTGCTCGATGATGTTGCTAAGCGTGGGTTCTAGTGGCTCCACATCAGGCGCATCCTCGAACTCTTCTGTCTCAACCCCCCACCCGGCCACCCCTGCCGCCATCTTGAAACCGGCTCACGTGACCAAGCAGAGCGCACCACACAAGGCACCTACAGGGGAAATTCCTTATCATATCTCCGTCAGGGCTATGGGCCCGAGTTAATTTTCCCTTAGCCTGACTTTTAGTTGCGAATAGAAGCTATATCTTCAATGTTTTCCTTTTCTAGGGTTTTCCTTGTCAATCGGTCGACTATCTTTCCTCAAAGACGCCCCCTAACTAATTAACATATTGGCACGTTCCAGAATACTCCCCTTTACTGATTGGGCTCCAAGTCTCGCAGCTCTCTTTTCATTGGCTACATTTTTTTTTTTTAACTTTCACCAGTCACTTTCACGTCCCAGTAGCCTCCAACCTCTCCTTAGCAACCAGCCAAACACCCGGTACAGGCTCTTAAGGAGAAGTTGTGTCCTCTCTAGCCTGACTCTTATAGGCTCAATCTCTTGTCGGTCTTTTGCCCCCCGCGCTATACTCCAGATTGGGTCCCAACCCCCTCTTAGGTCCGTCTCCTGGGAGCCAGATGGCTCCTGATGCAAACCAGTCCTAGACGAATTGTTTAGTTGGCTGAAGACCGGTCCCGGCGCTGTGAGAGGCTAGAGGGAGAAGACTCTACTTGTGAGCAAGGTCCGCAGACCCTTGTCCAGTGCTCCCTGAACCTCCATGCGGGTCAAACTAGGGCAGGGACGGTACCTGCAGCTGCGCTCCTTGTCTTGGAAGAGACTCTATTCCCGAAAACCTCCTTGCAGTTTGCTCCTCGTGGAAGGAGAGACTCCAGAGAATTCCGTTTGAACTTCTGCGCTGGGTAGAATTACAAGCTGGGGTCCAGGCCCTTGGCGGACACTCTTAACTTTAAACTAGAGGACTCCAGTTTAGAAATACCTCCGGCTTCATCTGAGTATTCTAGCCCATAAAATAATAACCTGATTCTCAGATGGAGACCACAGCTCCACAGAGGATCTGTGCCTGCATTCCCAAACGAGAGCTCCATCCCAGAGACAGGACCCCAACCCAGAACCCTCTCATTTTTAATCCGGCGATAGGCTCTCTAGACCTAGTTAGGGACCTATGTTCCAAGGTGTTGAGCACACAGCCTCAAAGGGAATGGGATACTTCTTAGATTATTTCTGGTTCCAAGAAGGGGATTCTAGTCCTGGAAATCTATGCGACCCCAGTCCCAAGCGGAAACCTCATTCCGAAAAGCCAGCTACAACCCTAGACGATGGCCTCACTTCCCGGGTGTCCGGGTCTGCGAAACGCCTGCCCAAGTCTGAGCCCATGAGTCCGCTACGCCAGATTTTACCTCTTATTCACTCGGCCCCTCAAGCCCCGCCCCCACTGCAGACGCAGCGGGGCCAGACCGCTCTTCCCGGCAGGCATTGCACGGGACCTGACTAGTCGGGCGCCAAGCGCGGGGCCGAGCAATCTTCCCGGAGTCCTTTGCGCGGCACCTGGTGACAAAATGGCCGCCCGAGGGAGACGGGCGGAACCTCCGGGCCGGGAGGCGGTGGGCCCCGCGGCGGGCAGTGGCGGCGGGAGCCGATGGGCTGAGTCGGGGCCCGGGACGTCACCCGAGAGCGGGGACGAGGAAGTGTCGAGCCCGGTGTCTGGTGGCGTGAACTTGTTTGCCAACGACGGCAGCTTCCTCGAGCTGTTCAAGCGGAAGATGGAGGAGGAGCAGCGGCAGCGGCAGGAGGAGCCGCCCCCGGGCCCGCCGCGACCCGATCAGCCAGCTACCGCCGCCGCCGCGGGGCCTGGGGATCCGAAGAGGAAGGGCGGCCCGGGCCCTACGCTCAGCTTCGTAAGGAGCCGCGGGGGTGGGGGCGGGCGCCAGGGCCTTCCTTGGCAGGGAGAATCGGGCCCAGGAGAGGGGATCGGGATCCAGGTATAACACTCCAGCCCCAATGAGGGGGCATCCAGGTCACCGCTGAAGATGGGAAACCTGGATTCCCGACGAGAGAGGTTTGGGGGCGAACTTGGGCACCCCCTGTAGCCTGCTCGCGAGAACCGGGAGTCGGGAACTAGATAGGGATTCCTGTTTGAGTGGTACCGGAACTGTGGATACCGGGACAATGAACCACTATTAGGAACGGGAGCAAACTCAGATCTAGAGTCTAAGATGCGTTTGGATTAGAGATTCAGACCTCTTACTGTTACCTCAAGAAATTTGCTTGCCTTCCCTGAGTCGTGTTTGTCCAGTATGTCTCTGGAGCACCTTATCTTGTGTCGGGCATTGTGTTAGGTGTTGGATAGGCCCTGGTGAACATGACAGAGAAGATCGCTGCTTTCCTGGAGCGTTGGGGATGGCCTACCTTCGCTTTTTTATTCGCAAAAATGGACATCATCTTTTCCGCTATGATGAGAGTTCATTGAAGCCATCCTGGAAGAGGGGTTAGCATGGGGTCAGACTTACAGAAAGGGCCGAACCAGTCATTTTCAGTTGGGGATGATCTTCCCGTGTAGCAAAATGTGGAGACATTTTTGGTGGTAGAACTTGGGGAGGGAGTGCTATTTACATCTCTGAGTGGAGACCAGGGATGTTGCCCAATATTCTGCAATGCACAAGACAGCCCTCCTCACACCCCCACCCCCAGCAAAGAATGATGCAGTTCCAAAAGTCATTAGTGCAAGATTGAGAAGTTTTAGGCTAAATAAAAAGCATCTATAGAGATTGTTCACTCTGGGCTTGTTTTGTCTCTGGTGTTGAGATCAAGTCCCCATAGTGTGGAGAGAGAAGTTTTGACTTGAGAATAACAGACCGGGGGTCAAGTTTCTTTATCCACCAAAAATGGGTGTGAGATTAGTCCCATTAGGACAGCTCACTTAATGTTTGGTTGAGGGGTGGAAAAGCATGATACTGTCAAGCCTGTTGCAGCTGGTGGAGCACAGGAAACCATCAGTCAGTGGGACACCGTGGAAGGCCAGGATAGAAGTCTGGAGTGAGACATCTGTTTGAGGCTGGGTTGGTGTGAGAATGGTATGGAAGACGAGTGCCCCTTCTTGAGTGAAAGTAGCAGTAGTTATTCCCACCTTTTTTCATTTGTTCATTGAAGGGCTGTTGGGGGAGTACCCTCAAAGAGGCCAGGCCAGATTAGGTGTGGGGGACACAGTGTTGCTTGGTGGTTAAGGATACTGCTCTGTGGCTTGGACTCCCTTGATCCTGAACCCAGATCCATAGTTTGCTGGCAGCAGGACTGAGAGTACAGGCCTCTCCTTCTCAAAGATGTTTCCTTATACATAAAATGAGGATGGTTGTAACTGTTAAAGTAAAAGACAATACACACAAAGCACTTGGCACAGGGCTTGATGTACAGCAAGTGCTTAATAAAAACCTGGGTGGTCACTGCTAGGGGAGGGTGAGGCTTACAGCATGGAGAGTGAAGATGAGCCCGGCCCTACTAATGTGAGGGTTCTTCTCACTCCCTGGGAGGGCCACCTGGGAGCCCACAACTGCCTGGGCATAACGGGCCCAGGGCAGGTGCTAAGAGTCGCGTGTGCTCCTCTCTGATTGCTGCGCAGGTTGGCCGGCTGGCGGAGCTGGGCGCGGCGTCGGGACGGGCCACCCGGCCGGGCTAGAAAGGTGTAGTGGGCCTCAGCGCCGCCAAGGGCGGGCCCGGCTCCTGTAACCGTTGCAGTCTTCTGTCCCTTCACCCAGGTGGGCAAGCGCAGAGGCGGGAACAAACTAGCCCTCAAGACGGGAATAGTAGCCAAGAAGCAGAAGACGGAGGATGAGGTGAGCAGGCTAGGTATCTGGAGCTTCCCACTAGGCCTTTCCTTTCCAACCTCTGCACCTGGCTAATCAGCCCTCTCTCTCCCTGTCTAGCATCTGGGCCTTGGATGGGGGTACTGGGTTGGGGGGGGGGCTTTCAACAAGTCCCCAGATAACTTGACCCTGAATGTCTTTACCCCAAACCCAGATCTCTGGGGTGGTGACACTGGGGGTGGGTCAGTTGTCTCAGGACAGTCCTGACTCCAGTTCTTGACCTCCTTGGCATTTCCTTTCCAACCTCCTGTGTGCCCCCACAGGTATTAACAAGTAAAGGTGACGCGTGGGCCAAGTACATGGCAGAGGTGAAAAAGTACAAAGCCCACCAGTGCGGCGATGATGATAAAACTCGGCCCCTGGTGAAATGACCCCCTTCTTCCCCTGCCTGCCTATGGCCTGGGACTCTCTGCGATGTACATAACTATTTAATGCGGCGGCAGTGGCAGCAGCCTTTCCCCCCAAGGACTTAAACACAGAAGGAAACCGAGATGCTTCCCGCAGCCGCGGACGATTCTCCAGGACTCTTTTTTACCTTGAGCACTTGCCTCCTGAGACTTCATAGAACAGTGGTTTACTGTCCCCTGTCTCCCACCTCCTCGCCCTCTCTGGCTCTTTCAGTCTTCCTTTTCTCACCCTCCCTTTCCTCTCCTTATCCATCACTTCTGGGAAGTAAAGAACTTAGTGCCGGAGCTGTGTGATTGATTTGACTTCTTTATTCCTTTCAACCTAGACCCTTCCTTGCTGTGCTCACGGGATCCTGGATCTAGCTTGGTGTGGGGGTGGGATGATGGGCGTGGGATAATGGGGGTGTGCCCTGGCAGCAGACCTGGACTCAGGACCCATTTACCCTTACCCCTGACTCTATCCCCACTGTTGCCCCTCATGTTCAGGGGCTCTTCATGGTCCCATTTAGCTGACTAAAGCTGTCATTCAGCAGACACTGAGCACCTACTGTGTGCCTGGGCTGGGTCCTGGGGCCCTAGAAGAGACCAAGCTCTCTGTCCTTGTGGAAGGAGACAGACAAAAAGGGGAAGCCATTTGGGAGGTGCCTGTGAAGACTTACAGGGTTGAGTCTGGAGAAGGGTGTCTGTTTTCACTGACATCTGATCAGGGACCTGAGGGAGGTGAGGAAATGAGTTCCAGGAAGAGGGAACAGCCAGTTTAAAGACAGGAGGGAGAGTACGTGGCCCTTATGTGGAACTTCCAGGAGACCTGTATCACGAGCCAGGTGAGTGAGGGGGTGGGGTGGGTGTATTACATACAGAGCCTTGTATGTTAGGGCGAGAACTTGGAACTTCATTCTTACTTAATAGAAGCCTTTGCTGGTTTTGAGCTAAGAAGCAACCTGTTGTGCCTTACATTTTAACGGGATCTGCCTGGCCAAAGTGGAGTTGGGGTACAACCTGGGAGATGGGAGGCTGGGTCATGATCTGGGTAGCTAGGGTGCTGGGCTGTTGGCAGTATAGGAAGTGAGGAGGGCTAGGATCTGGATTCCACTGCAGCTGCTCTTTCTAGCTACTTGCAGACCTTCCAGGGAGGCTGGGATTGACCCTGTCTGGCTACGTACATGATCAGGAGGAGTACACTGGTTGGTTTGTCCCACCTACAGACATAACGACGTATTAGGGTACAGAGTATCCCAAAGTCTGACTCCCCTAGCGTTCCTCTAATGCTCCTTGTACTTCTGTACCCTCCTGGCCCCTTTGTTCATCCCATTTGAGCTGGGATGTTTTAAGATGCCAGTACCTTCCAACTCCTTCTTGGGGGCTCCCAACTCCTAATAGACCTGGGGCTCCTGACATGATCCCACCTCTTAGGCCTTCCCAGGCCTGAATGCTGAGCAGCCCCGCACTCCAGCCTGTCCTAGGGTCAGGTTCTTGTATCCCTTCCATCAGGGAAGGGTCAGGACTTGGAGAACCATGGTGGTTACTGGGGCCTGTAGAGGCAGAGGGAGGAAGGGCAGATTGTTGTGGTCCTGGGAAAAGGCTGAGATGGCAGCTGCTTGGCTTCAGACTCTGCCAGAATCCAGCCTGTGGGGGTTGGAGTGGAACACCAGTGGAGGTGACATTATAGTTGGGTAGAAACAGACAAGAAACATAATAAAACATAGAATACATCAGATGGTTATACATCCTAGGGAAAAAATAAAGATTGAAATGGGGACTGAGATGAGAGTGGAAAAGATGGCAATTTTAAGTAGGTCAGGGATGGCCTACCTCCTTGAGAAGGCAGCATTTGTCCCAGGTTCTGAAGGAGTTGAGACTGGCAGTGAAGTCTTTGGAAGTGTTCCAGGTGGGAGGAACAGCAGGTGCAAAGACCCCAAGGTGAAACCATACCTGACTTGAAGAGGCAGCAAGCTGGAGGTTTGCTTGAAGAGGAGCAGGAGATACATCCCCTTTCATCTGCTAATACACAGTAAAGCTTGTCTGGTTTATTTTCTACATTGGCTCAAAGTGCTCTTCCCACTCTGGGAATGCTAAGCTGTCCCATGTGTTGACTTTAGCCTTGGGGATATAGAGTGTGTGTGGGGGGCACATAACCAATAGAGCCATCTCTCCTCTCAGTCATCAGCAGTGGCTGGATCTTTAAAAAAACACGAGGGAGAAAGTAGGTCGCCTCTGCAGCAGCTCAGCCTCTAGTTTGAAGTGTCAAGAGGCAGGAGGAGATGGTGGAGTCTTGTCATCTCCTTTCATGGTGCTCACCAGCTCTGAACGGGGGAAAATATGAAAGGGGAGGAAAACCAAATACCAGGTTTTGGTGAGTCACGTAGCCCCTTGCTTCAAACTATTCTGATACCTGTTGAGCTTGGATAAGTCAATAAACCTTTCCGTGGTTCAGATTCTTCTTCTATAAAATAGGGGAAAAATGCAGAACCATCTCTAGAGTCAGGTTCAAATACAAGAGCAGTGCTCATATAGTAATGTTAACCCTGACATCATTGCAAACAACTGTCACTGCTTTCTGGGTGAAGCAAATGGCTTGCGTTTGGTGGCTGTGTTTGAGAAATGCTGAGCTTTTTTGTTTTTATTTTTTGAGACAACTTTCATTTATTAAAATCCATGTATATGGTATTTAACAGTCAAAAGTACAGATTTCTCAACATTCAGGCAATGAACGCTATTCTCAGAAGTGTTTTGCGAGAAGTCCAAATTCTTTGCTGTCCTTCCAAAAACAACAAAAAAACTTTATACTTCTGAAAATGATGCATGTATTACATGACCTCTCAAGAACAATCCTGTTGAGATCCCAAAAACCTTCGGAGAGTGAAGAAAACCCCCAGAATGTAAAGACTCATCACCTTTAAACACGGGTGTAGTGTGGTAACATGCTCAGGCAGGGAGGTAAAGTGATAAGCGTTTGTCTCCTATCTCAGATTCATGGTTGGGCATCAGGTCCTTGAGTATCATTTGCCCTGAAAGCTTCTACATGAAGTAAGTTTGTTGTGCACATGGCTGTTCAGAGAGTTACAATTGGAAACCTCCTGGCTGGCAGTAGGTGCTTAAGAAATGGGGGCGGGGGGTGGGGATTGCCCAAATCAACACACCGGCTGGAGAGAAGGATTTCCGTCAGTCCCAATACTGTGGACCATACAGGCGACGCCACATTATTCCACTCCGATGCACTCTTACCCGGAGGCTTGCTCAGAGTCCCTAGAAACTGCGTGTTAAAAAAGGAGGTGAACCCTAACAAATTCTTTCCTGCGTCTCTAAGCCTTATATGGGGCAGCCCCCAGCCCTGAGCAGAAAACTACCTGTCTGTACGCTCTCCGGAAACCTGCAAACCTAATGTCAGCCGCTTAGCCTGACTGCTTTACGCCCACCTCCACAGCTCTCCAGATACCTGGGATTTGAGCCCATAAACTCGCGCACGCGGCAAGAGGGAATTTGTAATTCAGGCAAGTTCCGGCGCCACGGAAGGTCATTGCGCAGGCGTAGGCGGCGGCTTTGCGCATGTGTTTCTCTGGTCGGGTGTTTGTCCAGCGTAGCCAGCTGAAGTGGGAATCTTTCCGGGAATCTGACCGTGAGGCTGGAGCTAGATGTCAGCGGACCTTTCCCAAAAACAGTACTCCGAGAGAGATGTCTTAGGTTCCTGTTTTTTATGAACGGACAGAGCCGGGACTGACTTTGCCAAAGGGAAGTGAACTAAGAAACCGATCTCCTTCCTCCAGGCTGGAGCAAAAATTGACCTTGTGCCTCTCTCAAGCCAAAAAGTTTCTCAGGGCAGGGCTGGATTGTTCTTTGGGATTAGAGCATTAGTTGATAAAGTAAATTCAGTAAATACTGGTTTAGGGAGGGGCTGAATACAGTGAAAGGATGGCCTTGGGCCCCTCCCGGTAGATGCCACGATATGAAAATTTTGGTGATGCTTACCTTACCTCTAAACCAGCATACTACGTATTTGTATACCAATTTGACAAGTGGGGAAACCAAGGCTGTGAATGGTAGGGAAAACTGGTCTCCCAGGGTCTCCAGCCCCTTCCTGGTCTTAAGAGGAAGAGGGCCGTACTATGTCCTCGGACGGTGCGAAGATCACAAAAAAGTCTTCCTTCACTACCTGCCTCTTGCCTAAATTTCCTGGGCTGTCCGCTTTATTCAGCCTCAAGTGGGGAAAGGGAGTAGGCCGTTTTGATCCAGCGTTTATTAGTTCATCTCATTAATATTTTCATATTCTTGTGAATTTTTTTCATATCCTTGTAAAAACTGTTAAACAGTACTGGGGAATATGTAACTTAAAATGTAGCAGGTTTCTGTAGAAAGCCAGCCCGTCTCAGGCACTCCTTTTGTCTGGCTTTTTAAATTATTTTTTATTTTATTTTTTGTCTCGGGTATAAAGTCCACTCCAGGCTGTCCCCTCCACTCCTTCCTTGAACACAGGCTGTGCTTCTACAGAGAATCCTCTGGATGCGGGAAGGGAGACACAGTTCAATGCTTAGAGGAGGGGGTTACGAAGGCGCAGCCAGCTCTGGGTGAGAGGTTCCCGAGTCTACGACACCTCAAAAGTCCCCACGCACCACCAAACTCAGCTCCCAGAAAAGTGCTCCCGCGTGAGAGCCGCTGAGAAAGACGCGACGCTGGGAGGACCGGCCGGCCAGAGAGGCGGAGAAGGAAAGACACACACGCTAACTCCCGGTCACGTGACCGGACCTCCGCGGGGCCTGGGTCTCCGGGGTGGCTGGCCACGTGTGAGGATTACTTCTTCCAATTGGCTCTGCTAGGCCAATTTGAACGGCATACGGAAGCCGCCGCGGCTCATATACGGCTGCGTTTTTTTTTTTTCTTTTTTTTTTTTTCTTCTCTCTCTCTCTCTTTTTTTTTAATTCCCTCGCTTTGGTTCCCTCCTTCCGCTCCAGTCTCACGAGAAGCCGCAGCATAAGGCGCTGCCGTTGCTCCCTCTAGCCCGGTAAGTGGGCCTTACCCACAACCAGGTCATCTCGGTCCCGGTTTGCGTTGAACCCCGCCAGGGTCCGTGTCTGTGCAGCGTGCGGCCGGGGCATTAGGGCCGCGCCTGACCCGGAAAGGCCGAGAACCCGGTTGGGCCCGATTCTCCAGGCAGCTAGAATGGGCAGAGGGTGGGGGCTGGGGGAAATCGAGCCGGGCTTAGGGGGTGGGGCCTCGGAGCTCGGCCAGATACCTGTGAGAATCTGGCCAGTGGGGCGCCTGGGGTCGGGCTGGAGGGGATCTAATTGGGGAACAGTGCAACGATCGGGTGTGTGTGTGGGAGGAGGCTGTTTGGGGGGCTCAGTGAAAAGTTGGAGGGTCTTGCTTGGCTCTGTTAGGGAGACTTCGGCCTGGAGGGCTTTGCTGGGTCTGACTGTAAGGCGTCTCTGGGATCCGTTGGGAAGTGTGCTGGAGGGGGAGAGTGCTAGACCAGGCTTAATTGGAGAAAGCCGCATGGATCCGATGAAGGTTGCTGGCTTGAGGAGGTGGTGGGGCTTGGCCAAACTTGACTGGGGAAGCAGCAGAGATCCGTCAGCAGGAGATAATGCTGACTTGGGGTGGAGGGCGGGAATGGGGGAGGCTTGGCAGACCTGAATGGGGAAAGGGATGGCGGCTTCTCAAGGAGGTTCTTGTAGCGGGGTGGGCATACTTGACGGGCTCTCCTTCGGAGAGGCAAAGCGGACCAGTCTTCTGGCCTGATTAAGGAGAATCGCTGAATGGGGTCTGGCTAGGCCAGAATGTGGGAAGTCTGGCATCCGGCTGAGCTTGGCGGTCCGGATGCGGGGAACCGGCAGGGATCAGGTGCAGCTGGGGAGGCTTAGAAACTAGACCGGGGAGAGGAGGCATCTGGGATGTGGCGGAGCTTGAGGGCTGGGTTTCGGAAGAAGGTATATCTTTAGGGACCGTACCTATATACGGGAGACCACGGGACCGGAACGTTATCGAGGTCCGGGGCAGGGCACTTGGATGAAATGGCTGGGCCTTCTCTGAGTGGCTTGCGAGGGACGCGGAAGCCTTAGGATCCGCAGCCTGGGGCAGATGGCAGGGGCTGCCCTGGGGAGAAGGGCCAGCCACCGCTTCCTATGCCTCTCTTCCACAGCACCCCGCCCATGCTCCCAAGCCCACAGGAGCCTGTGACTGTGTGCGCCGTGAATGGTGCAGCTGGCGGGGACCCCTCACTTGGGTTGGCTGGATTGGTGGCCTCTGCCTAGCTAGGGGCAGCCCCTGCATTCCACTTCCGCTGACCCTGGCCCCTACCCCTGCAGCTTGCCTTGCGCCATGGACTGGCAGCCAGATGAGCAGGGCCTGCAGCAGGTCCTACAGCTGCTTAAAGACTCGCAGTCACCCAATACAGCCACTCAGCGTATCGTGCAGGATGTATCCTTCCTTCCTTTTGGGCCTGGGGGAATGAGGGGTGGGGGACATCTACATCCCCTAAAGGCCACAGAGGACAGGGCCCACCCCTACCCCCCAGACTGCTGTGGTTAGGAGCTGGCCATGACAGAGAGTTAAGGATTAGAATTTTGGGGCCCCATTCCCAGAAGAAATGTGACTGTGGGGGCGGGGGAGGGAATGAAACTTTTAGTTAGGACTCAGTTTTGGTTTAGGTTCATGGTTAAGATTTTTGTTTCAATTGGTTGTTTAAAATACTGTAAGTTAAACTTTTAAAATATTTCAAGCACTGGCAAGTTTCACTTGAAAACATGGACCTGCTAACTCTCTCTTGCTCTGGCCAGGTCTTCAGGAGGTGGGGAGCTCAGGCGTGCTCCCTCACATCCTGGATGAATTTGTGCCTGAAAAGTTGCTTTGTTATGGGCATGGGTATTGACAGGTGGGGTCCCAGGAGTTGGCTACCTGGTCCTAGAGGTCAGAGGTACTATTAGCTACATGGCGGTAAGGCGGCCCCACCTGGGGAAGGCCCTTGTCTCCCAAGTCCCTTAACAACTTGGCAGAAACTCAAACAACTGAACCAGTTTCCTGACTTCAATAACTATCTGATCTTCGTCCTGACCAGACTCAAGTCGGAAGGTACGATACCCTTGATGCCCCTCCATGCAGGCTGGACCCTGTTCTCTTTCCTGTAGTCCTGAGCCTCAGCCCTTTTCTCGCAGATGAGCCGACTCGCTCTCTCAGTGGTCTCATCCTTAAGAACAACGTGAAGGCCCATTACCAGAGCTTTCCACCACCTGTGGCTGACTTCATCAAACAAGAGTGTCTCAACAACATCGGTGATGCCTCCTCACTCATCCGAGCCACCATAGGTAAGGGGGGGCAGTGGGAGTGGGCCGGTGATGATGCCCTGCGCTCTCACTCTCACCCAAGAAGCATCTCAGAATGTTCAGGGTATTGATTCACCGTGGGTGGTAGAACTGTGATTGTTGCCATTTTGCAGATGAGGAAACTAAGGCACAGAAGGGTTAAGGGACTTGCCTTGTAAGTGGCCGAGCTCAGAAGTGACCAGTGCAGGTCCATGCTCTGAACCACTCCCTCCTGAAATGTCTATTTTTGCTTCTGAGGCAGTTACTCAGTGCCTGGAGTTTTATGTTCAGATTCTGAGGGGGCAGTAGGTTAAAATCAGCTCCCTGCTCTTGTGGAACTGGGTGTCCTTAATGAGGTAGCTTTGTCTTGGAGCCTTCCTGACTCCTGGAAGGCTGCCTGAGGTAGTTAACAAGGATGACTAGCATTTTTCAGCAGTTTATCTTAAGCCTTTTCACTACTGATAAACACCAACTCTACTGTTTGTTACCATTTTTATTGAGGTTAGTTGACATATAATGACTTACATTTTTTTTTCTTTAAAATCTTTGTCGACTTGTAACACTTGCTTTTACAAGGATGTTGTATGTAACTTTTTAAAAAAATTTTATTTATTTATCTTTAGAGGGGAAGGGAAGGAGAGAGGGAGAGAAACATCAATGTATGGTTGCCTTTTGTGTGTCCCCTGCTGGGAACTGGCCTGCAGGAAACCGGCCTGCAACCCCAGTATGTGCCCTGACTGGGATTCGAACCGCGATTGTCTGGTTCGCAGGCCCGCGCTCAATCCACTGAACTACACCAGCCAGGGCTGTAACTTTTTTTTAAAGATTTTATTTATTTGTTGTTAGAGAGAGGGGAAGAGAAGGAGAAAGAGGGAGAGAAGTATCAATGTGTGGTTGCCTCTCCTCTCTCCCCCGCTGGGAACTAGCCTGCAACCCAGGCATGTGCCCTGACTGGAAATCAAACTGCAGTTGTTTGGTTCACAGGCCTGCGCTCAATCCACCAAGCCACACCAGTCAGGGCCATATGTAACTGTTTTAAATGAAAGACAGATGTGCTTGCCCTGAAGGGAAGATAGTCTTAAAATGCAATAAAGACAGAAAAATACTGTTAGATTTGAGATAGATATCTTGCGGCCTGCTGCTTCCTTCTGTTAAAAGAGACCCTTAACCCCGACAGTACCCTCATCTGATGCCAGCAGAAAGACCTGGACTTACTAAGCTCCTTCCTACTGTCAGGTTCTGCTCTAATACTTGAGTTAAGGTCACTGAAGTTTCCCAGTAGCCCTACTAGGCCTGTGGTCTTTGTCCCCATCAAAGCACAAAGAGGTTAGGTAATGTGGCTAACATCACACAGACAGGGAGGAGACTGGGACTGTCTTCACAGTCTACCTCAGGGAGCACCTTTTCTAGCAGACCTGTGAGCCAGGGTCATCTGGAGTGCTGGCACTGGCAGCTTCTTTCCTTAGGAAAGACTGCCACCTTCTGGCTGTAAGTATTATCTCTGTGCTGACATCACCCATTTAGCTCAACTGCCAGACACCTTTCCTGCCCTCACACTTTAGATACCCACTGCAGATTGGGTTTGTAGTAAGCAGTACAAGCTCTCAAGAGGCCAGGTGACCCTGCAGGACCTTCCCCCTGCCCCCTCCTCCCTCCCCACCCTCACTTCCTCCCACTCTGCCCCACTGGCTCCTTACCCACCTGTAAGCTCCCCAGGCCTGCCCCTGTGCCCAGGCCTTTGTACCTGCCATTTCCTCTGCCTGGGATGCTCTTCCCCCAGAGACCTGGATGGCATCTCCCTCACCTTTTTCAGGTCTTTGCTCAGATAGCAAGATATCACCTGAAGGAAGCTCTGGACATCCAATTTTAAGTTACTACCCTCATCCTCAGCTGTTGCTAGCCATCCCCTTTGCTTTATTTCCCCCTTTAGCTTTTGGCATATAGCCTCCCGGGCCTTTTGCCGGTTTATGTTAACCTCGCAGCAGAGACTTTGCATTTAGTTCTGTGCTGCATCCTGGTCCTGGAACAGACTGACAGTAAGGCTCAGAGGATCTCAAGGGGTGTGGAGGGCTCATGCGGAGAGCATCCCGAGTGTGGCAGGGAGCACTGGGGTGCTGAGCAAGCCCACCGGCACCCAGCCTGAGGCCGCGTCCTTTCCTGGCCGCCCAGGCATTCTCATCACCACCATCGCTTCCAAGGGTGAGCTGCAGATGTGGCCTGAGTTGCTGCCCCAGCTGTGCAACCTGCTCAACTCAGAGGATTACAACACGTGTGAGGTAGGTGGCAAAGCCATGGCCCACCCAGGTGGGAGCTGGGGCTGGACCTGGACCCATACCCATGTGTGCTTCTCCCCACTCAGGGAGCCTTTGGAGCCCTGCAGAAGATCTGTGAAGACTCATCCGAGCTCCTGGATAGTGATGCCCTCAACAGACCCCTCAACATCATGATCCCCAAGTTCTTGCAGTTCTTCAAGCACTGCAGCCCCAAGATCCGGTGGGTGCAGCTCCCCAGGGGTCTGCAGGGCACCTGGAGAGGGCAGGGCGGGGGTGACCCACATGCTCACTCCCTGCCAGGTCCCACGCTATTGCCTGCGTGAACCAGTTCATCATGGACCGGGCTCAGGCGCTGATGGACAATATTGACACCTTCATTGAGGTAGGCTGCCGGATTGGGGATGAGCAGAGTGAGGAACAGAGGTCCCCACTGTGGCTGATCCTGCCTTCCCTGCAGCACCTGTTTGCCCTGGCCGTGGACGATGACCCTGAGGTGCGGAAGAATGTGTGCCGTGCGCTGGTGATGCTGCTGGAAGTGCGAATCGACAGGCTCATCCCCCACATGCATAGCATTATCCAGGTGTGCACACCTAACCCTGCCTGGGAGGGTGCTGCGGGGCTGGGGGCACAGGGGAAGGCCTTCAGCTTTTCTTTCACCTATCCCAGTACATGCTACAGAGGACCCAGGACCATGATGAGAACGTCGCCCTTGAGGCATGTGAGTTCTGGCTGACGCTGGCCGAGCAGCCCATTTGCAAGGACGTCCTGGCCTCTCACCTGGTCCAGTGAGTGCTTCTCGTTTTCACTGTCCCACCCCAGGGTCCACATCTTTTATTTCACTTTTTATGTCAGCATACATTTTGCAAGTGGTAGGAATAATTTTTTTTTTTTAAGATTTTATTTATTTTTAGAGAGGGGAAAGGGGGAAGAAAGAAAGGGAGAGAAACATCAGTGTGTGGTTGCTTTTCACATGCCCCACACTGGGGGCCTGACCCACAACCCAGGCATGTACCCTGACTGGGAATTGAACCAGGGACCTTTTGGTTCTCAGGCTGGTGCTCAATCCACTGAGCCACACCAGCCAGGGCTGAATGTAGTTTTAATGACTTAAAAATTAGATAAATTATAGGTGCAGTAAATGAGAAGTCCAAGAGAGGCCTCAGGCATAGGCGGATCCAGGTGCTGAAAGGATGTGAAAGGCAACTGTTCAGTGTCACATTTACTTCATCTACATTGGCTTTGTTCTCAGGCATGACCTTCCTTCATGATTATGCTGGGGACTTCTATAGCTTTACAACTTAGGGACCTCTGAGAAAATAATTCCCTCTTGCCCAGTATTTCCAGCAAAAGTCCTAGGGACAATTTGGGTCACTCACCTATCCCCAAATCAGTGAAGACTCTAATTAAAATTTCCTATCCCAGGGTCCATGGGCGCCATCTAAGGGGGCTGGCTGCTTTACATGTTTATTCCCCTAATCTGGCTCCAGCCCAGTCAAGTGCCTGGTGACTGAGCCACATGTGCCTGCCTTATGGCATTCCAGGGATCAGGCTCTGTTCCAAGCTTCTCAGTGTATTCAGAGGTTTGGATTTCCTACAGTGGCCAGGTCTGGGTCAAGAACTTTCCTGTGGAGCCAGGAGTGATGTCAGCTCTGTCCCTGTCACAGTGACTGAGATTGGGTTGGGGTAGCTGCCACTAAGGGAGATTAATGGATGTGGGGCCAGCAGAATTAGTGTGCACTGTACAGTCGGCTCTTGACTCTCCCATCCATACTTTGCTTTCCTCTCACCCGGGCATTGAGCCCCCAGGGGGCCCTGCTTTCTAATGAATAGTCTCTCTCCCAATAGGTTGATCCCCATCCTGGTAAATGGAATGAAGTACTCAGAAATTGACATCATCTTGCTCAAGGTTAGCCAGGTTCAATACCAGGCCCAGGCAGATGGGTGAGGGTGGGGACGCAGGGGATGGGGTCTTGTTGGTGCTTAGTGGTCTGTCTGGCCCACAGGGGGACGTGGAAGAGGACGAGGCAATCCCTGACAGTGAACAGGACATTAAGCCACGCTTTCACAAGTCACGCACAGTGACACTACCCCATGAGGCTGAGAGGCCTGACAGCTCTGAGGATGCAGAGGATGATGACGATGACGATGCTTTGTCCGACTGGAATCTGAGTGTGTGGCTTGGATGGGGGTGGGGGTGGGTAGCAGCCCTGGGTTCCCTCTTGGGAGGCGATGAGAAGCCTCACTGGAGCAGATCACAAAGATCCTAGTCATGATGTCTGGTCTGGGGATATGGTTGAGGAGGCCCTGCCTGATGGGCTTCTGAGCCTGCCCCCAATTTCCCTTCTGGCTTCAGGGAAGTGTTCAGCGGCTGCACTGGATGTTTTGGCCAACGTCTTCCGGGAAGAACTACTGCCCCATCTCCTTCCCCTGCTCAAGGGCCTCCTCTTCCACCCTGAGTGGGTGGTCAAGGAGTCAGGCATTCTGGTGCTGGGTGCCATTGCTGAGGGTGAGTGCCCTGCTGTCCTGGCTGTGTGTGACTTCTGACCCCTGTGCTGGCGTGTGACTGGGTCTGGCCCAAGTGGGACTGCCCGTGGTGAGGGGGCCATGTCATCCCTGAGTGTTCTCCAAAGGCCTTCTCAGCCCCTTCAGATAGCTGTGGGATTTCAGGTAGCTCAGCCCCCTTCTGTGAGCCTGAAAGGAACCCCAAACCCTGAAATGCATATCCTCTCCGTTCTCGTGGACAGGCAATTCTGTGAGATCGTAAGGGAAATTATAACTACAATAGCAGTAACAGTCACTTTTTTAGTGCTTGTCCTATGGCAGGCAGCCTGGTGCTAGGGGCTTGGTGCCACCTGACGAGGTGGTATTCATAGATGGGGAAACTGAGGTACGAAGGGATGGACATCACCCACCCACCCCCATTTACCCAGGGTGCAGCTGGGCCTCAGACCTGCCCCCTGGCTGCAGGGTTGGCCTGCTAGAATAAATGTGCAGTGGTGGTACCTCTTCAAACTTCACATGATGCGCTCTTACTGGCCTGGCTTTTGGGCACCCTTTGTGCTGATGGAGTGTACAACTTGGATGACCAGAGAGGGCTTTGTGAGTCTGTTATGGGCGTCACTTGTGACTGCCTCAGCACATAGGCCTGTCCTAAAAAGTTCAGAAGTCCTCACTGTGGAGAGGTTTCAGAATTACCTAAGGAGAGGGAGACTTGTGGTCAATGTAGAGGCATTAGTAAATTCCTTGCTTCAACACACAACTATAGCAAAAAATATAGCTACACTACAAAACAAATATCACTCAGAATTGTCAGGAAATTGAACTGTGTAGAAGTCTGACAACCAAGGATTTGAAGAATCCACATTTGTCCAGATGGGTAGGAGAGGTGGAGACACATAGAGACACTGAGTTGCATGGAGAGGCATGGGAATAGGTGGTTTCATAGCCACATGCAGTAGGTAAAAAAATGGGAGGGATACCTTGGGAATGAGGGATCCCAGTTCCAAGTCCAGATCACCTAGCCCAGGGTCCCAGCACCAGGAAGATAAATCCCCATAACTTTTGGCTGTAAAAACCAGTGGGGGTTGGGGCAGTGGAAGAAACTGCATCCTCTTAAAGGACCCACAATGGATTTAGGACTCACACAGACCCACCCCTTCTGGGATTCAGCACCAGGGTGACAGCTTGAAGGGCACCAGTGGCATATGGGGAGAATGTGGAGTGCGAGTGGGGAGACTAGATTATACCCAGGCAGAACTCCTGAGGCCAGGCAGTGGCACTGTCCCCTCTGCAAACCCTCCCCCACATAGCAACAGAGTGGTGATACAGGTTGCCCTGCCCTGGCATTCACCTAAGGCTCCACTCCATACAGCTTAATAGATGTGCTATCAGAAACTCAAAGCAGCTCTACTTAATGCACAGAAACAAACACAGGGAGGATGCCAAAATGAGAAGACAAAGAAATATGGTCCAAATAAAAGAACAGAACAAAACTCCAGAAAAAGGACTGAATGAAATGGGGATACGCAACCTCTCAGTTGAAGGTTTCAAAACACTGGTTGTCAGGATGCTTCAGGAATTCATTGGGTACTTAAATGCCATAAAAAAGACCGAGGCAGAAATGAAGTTTGCATTAAGTGAAATAAAAATCTACAGGGAACCAACAGTGGAGAGGATGAAGCCGAGAATCAAATTAATTATTTGGAACACAAGGGAGGAAAATGCATTCAGTCAGAACAGCAGAAAACAAACAAACAAACAAAAAAACACCAGAATAGGCTTAGGGGCATTTTTAAACATACTAATATCTGAATCATAGGGGTGCCAGAAGGAGAAGAGGAAGAGCAGGAAATTGGAAAAAAAAAAATGAAAGAGCTTCCCTAATTTGGTGAAGGAAATGGACATACAAGTCTAGGAAGAGCAGAGTCCCAAACAAGATAGACCCGAAGAGGGACACACCAAGACCCATAATTAAAATGCCAAAGGTTAAAGAACCCTTAAAAATAGCAAGAGAAAAGCAGTCACCTACAAAGGAGTTCCCATAAGACTGTCAGCCGATTTCTCAAAAGAAACTTCAGGCTAGAAGGGACTGCAGCCTAGATTACTTTGTCCAGTAAAGCTATCATTTAGAATGGAAGGGTAAATAAAACACTTCTCAGACAAGGTAAAGCTAAAAAAGTTCATGACCAAGCCATTATTATATGAAATGCTAAAGGGAATTGCATAAGAAAAAGAAGACAGCCTTGGCTCGTGTGGATCAGTGGAGTGAGTGCCAGCCTGCAAACCAAAGGGTCGCCAGTCTGATTTCCAGTCAGGGCACATGCCTGGGTTGTGAGCCAGGTCCCCAGTATGAGTATAAGAGGCAATCACACAATTGGTGTTTCCCTCTCTCCCTGCCTTCCCCTCTCTTCTAAAGTAAAAATTTTTTAAAAGAAGAGATCAAAACGAACATTAAAATGGCAATAAATTCACAACTGTCGTCAACTTCATCTGAAAAACTAAGCAACCTTGCAGAACAGGAACAGAATCATAGGTATGGAGATCACTTAGGTTATTATTTGGGAGGGGAAAGGAGGAAAATGGGAAAGGTGCAGGCATTTAGCAGCACAGATTGGTAGATACAAAAAACATGGCGGTTAAGGATAGTATGGGGAATGGGGAAGCCAGAGAACTTAAATGCATGACCCATGGACATAACTAAGTGGGGGGTTGCTGGGGATACTGTGTGGAGAGGGGCAAAGGGGGAAAAAGTTGGGACATTTGTAATAGCATAATCAAAATATATTTTTAAAAAATGGAGAGTTTTTCTCACCAAGTAAGTGTAGTATAGCTTATGTTACTGAATGTACATGTGTTGATAGAATACATTAGGTGTTCTACATATTCACGGGAAAAGACCTAGAACTGACTCTAAACCCATAAAAACAGGTCATTTAATAGGGGTTGTAATCTGTGCTAACTGAAGAACATACTCATGAATCCCTTTTTTTTTTTTTTTCAAGAATTTTTACTCATTGGTTTGAGAAATGTTGATTTGTTGTTCCACCTATTTATGAATTCGTAGGTTGATCCTTATACGTGTCCTGATAAGGGGTCAACCCACAACTTTGGAGTGTTGGGACAATGCTCCATCCAACCTCAGTTACCTGGCCAGGGCTTGTGGTTCTCTTTTAAAAAGATGATGTAAAATAGAAATTAGAAAAACCCAAAAAAGGTTTTAAAAGAAAAGGACTTTTGCACCCATTGGGGTCACTGCTGCCCACAAAGCCCAAGTCATTGTGCAGCCCAGTCATCTGTGAGTTAGTGAGTGATCATGTTGGGGTGGAGCTGATGGAGGGGAAAGGTTTGCTCTGATGCCGCTTTCTCTCCTGACCCTCCCTTTCACTGGCTCTGGGACTCTGAGCCAGTTATTCAATCTCTGAGCCTCAGTTTCCCCATCTGTCAGGTTCTGCTGATCTCTAAAGGATGAGTGCAGCCTGGCTCAGCTGGGCTCAGGTTTGCCCCCTGCTGTCCTTGCAGGTTGCATGCAGGGCATGGTGCCCTACCTTCCTGAGCTGATCCCACACCTCATCCAGTGCCTGTCAGACAAGAAGGCCCTGGTTCGCTCCATCGCCTGCTGGACGCTGAGCCGCTATGCCCATTGGGTGGTCAGCCAGCCACCAGACATGCATCTCAAGCCTCTGATGACAGAATTGCTCAAGCGCATTCTGGATGGCAACAAGAGGGTGCAGGAGGCAGCCTGCAGGTGACTTCTGACACCTGGCCCCACAGCCCGTACCCCTGTGCCTCTGGCTGCCCTTCGGGAAGTGATGACACTCATTATTCCTGACATCTGCTGATTCTTAATGTATTCGTACTGGCTGATCCCGAGTGCCTGCTCCTGTCTCTACCTGCCTGTGGCCCAGCCCCCACCTGTATGTGCCCACTGAGCCCTTTCCCACCTTCCAGTGCCTTCGCCACCCTGGAGGAAGAGGCCTGCACGGAGCTGGTGCCCTACCTCAGCTATATCCTGGATACTCTTGTGTTTGCTTTCGGCAAGTACCAGCACAAGAACCTACTCATCCTCTATGATGCCATTGGCACCCTGGCTGATTCTGTGGGCCACCACCTCAACCAGCCGGTGAGACCCCACTGTAGCTCCCTCCTCCTAATTCTCTGTTCCCCTCTGGCATCCAGTGACCTGGCAGTGACCCTGGGTCAAATGCCATGTGCCATGGACATGGCCATGACCTCAACAGGCTTCCCTCCCAGACAGACCTGGCTCCTGCCTTGCCCTGCTCCCAGTCTAGTGGGGGAGACAGACAGTTATGAGGCAGTGTGGCAAGTGCTGTGCTGGGGGAGCTCAGGGGCCCATAGGAACTAGGATGCTGACCCAGGCTTTTGAAGGGGCAGGGGTGGATAGGGTGGGGCTTGGGATGGGTCCGAAGAACCTGGAGGTCTGACTGGATGGTGAGGCCTTGCAGGCCCCATGAGCCACAAGGAGGAGCCCAGGCTTTATTGCTCAGGCGATGGGCGATGGACAGCCTTGCTAGTTCTCAGGCCGCCACCTCTACCCAGAAAGTCCCAACTTTGTGTTCCCCTTGCAGGAATACATCCAAAAACTGATGCCTCCGCTCATCCAGAAGTGGAACGAACTCAAGGATGAAGACAAAGACCTCTTCCCTTTGTTAGAGGTGGGTGGCCTCTAGGCTCCCCCCTGCAATTGTGCCCCACTTCACCTAAATTCACCTCTCCTGCCTTCCTCCCACCAGTGTCTGTCATCCGTGGCCACTGCCCTGCAGAGCGGCTTCCTGCCCTACTGTGAGCCTGTCTATCAGCGCTGCGTCACTCTAGTACAGAAGACACTGGCCCAGGCCATGGTGAGCACCTGCCTACCCCTCTGCTTCTGCCTCAGCCCTGGCCTGCCGCCCTCACCCTCCCGCCCACCCCATCTGTGCCCAGATGTACACCCAGCACCCTGAGCAGTACGAGGCCCCCGATAAGGACTTCATGATTGTGGCGTTAGACCTGCTCAGCGGCCTGGCTGAGGGCCTGGGTGGCCACGTGGAGCAGCTGGTGGCCCGAAGCAACATCATGACCCTGCTCTTCCAGTGCATGCAGGTGGGTGGGCACCCCTTGAAGGCCTCTCTCAGTGATGACACCCAACAGCCTGTAAAGGCCACCCTGAGGGGTGATGGGACAGGGCTAGGAAAGGGGGCCTGTAAAAGAAAACCCTGTAATTATTTTAAAAGGGGATTCAAATAGGATATGAGTAAAAGCTCACTTTCAAGCCAACAATTTCCAGTAGGAAATGGGGAAGTACAGCCCCTTCAACATTACCCCAACCTGTGTATCAGGAGGGCTAGCAGTTACATGTGCTTCCCTGAGCTGTAGCTGTGTCCTGAGCCAGGCAGTCGTTCCCATGGCCTAAGTCCTATGTACATAGAGGGCCCACAGCTTCAGTGCTGGGAAGTGGAAGGGTCAGGCCGTGCCCCAGGGACTGACTGCTCCCCTAGCTGCCCTAAGCTAAGGGATTAATTGAGGCCCCAGCTTGTGGGGAGGGGAGCCCTGCCATGCTCACCCTGCTCTGACTCCCAGGACTCGATGCCTGAGGTCCGACAGAGCTCCTTTGCCCTCCTGGGAGACCTCACCAAAGCCTGCTTTATCCACGTCAAGCCCTGCATTGGTATGATACCCACCTTGTCCTTACCTTGTAACCCTAGCCCTGGCCTCAAGTGATGAACAAATGACTAGGGAGGACTGTGACCGAACTGGGATGTATTCGTACTGTCTGATGGGGCCTCCCAGGCCAGGTTGGGGAGCTCACCCTGGTGGGTCCTCCTGCTCAGCATCTCTCTTTCTCCCCACCAGCTGAGTTCATGCCCATCCTGGGCACCAACTTGAACCCCGAGTTCATCTCTGTCTGCAACAATGCCACCTGGGCCATTGGTGAGATCTGCATGCAGATGGGTGAGTGCCCTGCAGGTGGGCAGGCCCTGCCCCTCCCAATTGGCCTATTCCTGGCCTGGGGACAGGAGCCGGGCTCTGAGCAACAGGCTTCCTCAAGAGGGTGCTGGTGCTCCTTGGGGAAGGCTCCCATGGGCGAGGGGTAAGAGGACACTCTGAGCATTTTCATCAGAGATGGACCAAGTGGCTAAAAGTCCATTTGTGATTGGCTTCTGTAAAGAGGCAGGTCAGGAGGCCTGTTCTGATTGGACTATTTGCCACCTTCCCACCCTGAATGCAGTTGGCTGGAAGGTCCCCACTGGGATTGGTAGTTCCCTACCAATGGCAGCTTCCCCTTTTCCCCACAAGGAAACTGGGCCATCTGGCCTCACCTCGGTGTTCAGGGGTGACTCCAGGAAAGCTTCTGGTATTTGGAGGGTATGGGTCTGTCTCCAGTTGGCCATGGGTCCTGGCCTGGAGACCAACTGAAGGTTTTTCGCTCCCTCACTGGATGCGGTCAGCCAAAGTCTAGATGTAACTGGCTAGGTGGCATGGGCTGTGTGAGGCTGACTCTCTGATCCCCCCAGGGGCAGAGATGCAGCCCTATGTGCAGATGGTCCTCAACAACCTGGTGGAGATCATTAACCGGCCCAACACACCTAAGACGCTGCTGGAAAACACAGGTGGGCACCAGGTCTGGGCTGCTGCTGCGCCCTTGCTCACCTCCCAGAGGTGGGCTTCTTGGCTGAGAAGGTAGTTAAGTATCTTTGGGAATGAACCAGGGAAGGTATCTGGAAGGACCTGGCAGTGGTTCTGGGAGGAGGGCCAAAACAGGTGCTGGCCTTGGAGGAAGACCCAGTCTAGGCCAAGCTTCTGGGCCCTGGTGGCTGGCAGGAGCTATTCCCTTGGGGCCTGTGGGGCAGGGCTGGTGCCTGGTGCCAGAGGCCCCGCCACGTACCGTCCGGGGGCCACTCGGGGTTGCAGGTCGCTTGACGAGTCCCTCTGCCATTCCAGCCATCACCATCGGCCGCCTGGGCTACGTGTGCCCACAGGAGGTGGCACCCATGCTGCAGCAGTTCATCCGGCCTTGGTGTGTGTTCACCTGTGTGGGGCCTCCTCTGTGGTGGGCTGGGTAGCAGAGTGGGTGGGACAGGTCCAACCCATGCCCTTGCCTGTGCCCGCCCAGCCCTGCCCGCCTGTGGCAGCACGTCCCAGCCCCATCATCCACTGAGCGCCCCCCCTTCCTCCATGCCCCATAGACACATAGCCCACCCCACCCCACCCCAGCCCCACTGCCCACTATTCCCAATGGATGCCCCTCCTGCCCCAGCCCTGGTGGCTGATTCCCTGCTGCTCACCTTCCCCACAGGTGCACGTCCCTCAGGAACATCAGGGACAATGAGGAGAAGGACTCAGCCTTCAGAGGCATCTGCATGATGATAGGCGTCAACCCTGGGGGCGTCGTGCAGGTTGGGGCAGCTGGGCTGTGAGGGAAGGCACTGGGGCTGGCTTGGGCGGCCCCTCACATGGGATTCATCACATTTCAGGACTTTATTTTCTTCTGCGATGCTGTAGCTTCCTGGGTGAGCCCGAAGGATGACCTTCGGGACATGTTTTATAAGGTGAGGCTCCTGCTTCACGCTGATGTACTCCCAGGAGGTGGCATCGGGGAGACCCTGTGGGGGAAGAGGCCAGGTTCATTTGCTCTGTTTTGGGTGCCCCTCCCATCCCTCACAGATTCTCCACGGCTTCAAAGATCAAGTTGGGGAGGAGAACTGGCAGCAATTCTCGGAGCAGTTCCCACCGTTGCTCAAAGAGAGGTTGGCTGCCTTCTATGGGGTCTAGAGGAGCACTGCAACTGCCAGGTGAGGAGGCTGCATGTACAGTGGGGCTGGCCATGTCCTTGGGATGGGGAAGCACAGGCTCTGACCCCTTCTCTCTCTGCAGGTTTCTGTCTGCGTCGTCAGCAGAGGGGTTGCTGGGGAGCACACTGCGTCCAGAAGTTGCCGTGCCCTGGTCAAGGGGGGTTAGGGAGGAGTGAGTGGGACCCAAATCCAGATGCCTTCCCAGTCCATCTACCTGCCATGCCTGGCCTGTGTGGCCAGCCAGTGGTGGGCAGGTGGGTGGGCCTCCACACATCCTACAAACGGGAGGGGGGTGGGACTTCGTGGCAGTAAGGGCCCCTTTCTCTAAGTGGGGTCACCTCAGGCAGCCGACTTGGGCTAGCCATGTGGGAGGGAAGAATCAACAAAGCCGACTGAATCCGGCTTAGGATGAGCAGGGGGAAAGCAGGCGGGGAGGGGGGTCCCTGTAGAGATGCGTACACTCATGTACACATGTGGCCACACGCATGTGTGGGCGCTGCTGCCAGCCAGGCTGGGCCAGTCGCCCCTCCATTTCCCTGACTGCATGGAGACAGTAGAATTAGTGAACCCCTGAGTTAACTCGTAAGGCCTTCCGTGTAACCTGCATCTAGAGTTTAAGAAGCTTCTGCTGTTTTACTGGAATTGGCGACGACTGGGGAGGGCTGGGTGGGTTGGGGTCCTCTTCTGGGAGCCCAGGGCGGGGTAAGACGAAGGCCACCTTGGGGCTGTCCTGTCAGCACGCACACACTTTGGACCTGCTCTGCACACTTCCTGCCAACTCTGGCAGTCTCAGCCAGTGTGTCCCCTCCTTGTCCCTTCCCAGCCAGAAGAATGGAGACCACAGTAATGGCTGGGGCTGGCCAGAGGTCTCTCTTTCTCTCTCCCTTGTGCTCCAGTGACTTTTGAAGACACTGGCCTGGCCCCCCCTGCCCCCCCCCCCAAGAGAGAGAGCTTGGGGTGGCCAGAGCTGCTGACACATACCCCCTGCCTATCCATAAGCACGTCCATTTTAAGGGCAGTCTGCTTCTCTGTGCTTCTGAGAACCTGACTTAGGTTCCAGGCCCAAGTTTCTAGAATGAGGGCTGGGGCATTTAATAGACGTTGATGCAGCGAAGGCTTATGCTTTGCCAGCAAGGAGAGCAAGAGCTTGGTGAGGGGGTGGTGTCCTCCCAACCTTGAGGCCATGAGGCTTCCTGCTCATCACTGCTTCCAGTGGCCTTGAGACCCCATCAGATTGGGGCAGCAATTTTAGGGACCCTACTGGGATTGATTGGTTGGGGATGCTACCACAGTGGGAGAGGCTCCACTAGAACCAGAGGGAGTGTGGTTTCAAGTTGGCCTTGAAGTGAAGCTGGACCCTGCAGCTCCCTTAAGGTTTTCTTTTTTCTCTTCCCCTGTTTTTTACTTCCTTTGGGGGCCCCTTCTGTGGTTTGGGGGGGTTTGGCTGGACTCCTGCATTCTGGGGCCTGCTCCGTTCATCCTGCTGGGTTCCTGGACCCCACCCCTATCACAGCCCTGGGTCTTCTCAGACTGGGTCGGGCCCTGCCTCTATTTCAAGGGGCACTTGGTGCACATTCCATAAATTCAGCTAATTCCCCCTCCCCACCTTAGAAACTCCAGCAGGTCTCTGGAAGCCATTTGAAAAAAAAATTAAATACCATTTAATTTTCTGATAATTCCAGTTCTTTGGAGCATCCTCTGCAGGGCCTTAAGGAGTATGGATGGATTGGCCGTCTGAGGGGTTTGGAAACTCCTCCACCCGCTTTGGGGGTGGGGCTCCAAACACCTCCAGGGAAGTGGGAGCCTTATTCATCGTCTTTTCTTTCTTTTTTTAAAAAAGAAAACTATTTAATTTTTTAATTTATTTTTGGTTGATTTTTGCACAACGAAGTTGTAGCTTCTCAACCTTCTTTCCTGCCCAGGGCTGCGGACCCTGACTGGCTTCGATCCGCAGATCTGCTTGTTCCCATGTCCCTCCTTTCCCTTCATTTTCTTCCTCCTGCGGGTTCCAGGGTCTGTTCATTTGTTACCATGCTGTGCTGGGGATTGGCGCCGAGGTGGCGTGAGATTCCACTTGTGTAGAACTTTGTTGAGTAAAGATCAGTTTCTTGTGAACCTTGGTCTCCAATTGGCCTGTGTCCTTGGCTTTGGCAGTAGAGATGTTGAGGGAGGCTGTAAAAATAGGGGTGCACAGGATTGGGGAAATAATTGGGGGAGTGGGAAAGGAAATAAGCAATAACAAGGGGCATTTCTTGGGACCCTAAGCATCAGTTTTCCTTCCTGTACAGTGGTTAAGGTTAGTGTGAAAGATGAAGATTAAATATCACATATATGTGGGTGCATTATTGCAACTCACTAAATGTCCTGAGCTCACTAAAGGAGAACCATTAGTGTTACAGGCTAGGTTCAAGATCCCCACCTGCCTTAGACTAAACTGAGTGATAAGGGGCAAGGCCTTGCAGCACCTTCATCTTTGGCTGACTTCCACAACTGGGTCACTGGGCATCTCAGACATTTTTATAGAAAGCTCAGCTCCTAGCACCGGGCCTGGGGTAAATATGTAAGATATTAGCAACAATTACTAGGACAAATGAGAAACTGCTCAGGATAAAATGTGGCAGCCTCAGTATGGCCTGAGGATCACCTGCATCAACCTGGGAAAACAAATGACACGTCCCAAGTTTGCTCAAGTGTGTATATTTTGGTGAGAGGGAGTAGAATATAAACAATGACATGTCCCATAGAGAAGGATACAGGGGGAAGGGAGAACATTGGGGAAGAGGGGAGGTACTGTGGGAAGATGTTTGAACAAAGCCTTGTGGGTATGAGGAGTCAGGCGGAGGGTACAAGCAATCCGTAGAGATCGTTTATGTGTTAACTGCCTGGCTCAAGTGGCTTTCAGTAAGAGATCCTGGTTTTATCGCTATGGTTCAGGATATTGTTCCAGTAAGGCCTCTGCAGGGTAAGGGTGCCTGTTTCTGGCTCCAGAATGCAAGACGAGTTTAAACCACTTATATTCCCCAGGCTGCAAACCCCGGAAAGGGGGTTTGCATTTCTGAGCTCGGTGTCACGGGTGAAAGTTGACTTTCGGAGAGCCGTTTTTCTTTTTTCTTCCAAACTATAAGTGAAAGTTTATTTAGAAGGTCACAGAGGTAGGAGTGAGCTGTAGGAGACATGGGCTCCGAAAACAAGTTACACAGGTAAAAGAAGAAAGCAAGGGCCCCGTTTTTCAAACCAGAAAATCAGCACTCCACCAGCGACCCTTAAACATGCAGGAACCCTGTCTTGACTTGGAGAGTGGTCCCTTAACAGCGGAAGGTTGTGGGTTCCGTTCCTGGTCAGGGCATATACCTAGGTTGCGGGTTCGGTCCCCCTTCAGGGTGCACGGGGGAGGAAACATGAATGTTTCTCACAGTGATTTTCTCTCTCCCTTCCCCTCTCTCTAAAATCAGTAAGCATATCCTTGGGTGCTGACTAAAAACTAAATAAAATTTAAAAAAATGCAGAACCAGGAATCTGCATTTTTCAGCCCTAGGCCCATACAGCTGAAGAACGGAGACCCTTGCAGGGAGCGGCCGTCAGTACCCGGCAAGTTTCTGCTCAGCCCCTTACTTCCGCCGGTGCTCTAACGTCATCAAGCAGAGCCGAACTTGCCCTCGCGCTGCCTAGGAGACAGGACGCGGGGGCCCGCAGCCCAAGAGGCGGCGGGCCGCGCCCACTCGGTCACCATGGAGCTGCCCCCAGAGCTCCGCGACGATCCCAGTTCCTGGGACGAAGACTCGGACCCGGAGCCGGAGCCCGACCCGGACACGCAGGCTGAGGCTTACGTGGCCCGCGTGCTCAGTCCACCGAAACTCGGTCTGCCCCCCCTGCGCACCCCTCTGCTCTCCGCACCCACCGCGTCCCCCGGCGCCTTGGAGCTGCGGGCAGAGTCCAAGGGCCCGGCAGTGGGGGTCCCGGGCCTCCTGAACCTTCCTCCGGAGCTGCTGCTCCAGATCTGCGCCTACCTGGACGCTCGCCTCGTACTCCACGTCCTGCCGCGCGTGTGCCGCGCGCTGCGCGACCTTGTGCGTGACCATGTTACCTGGAGACTACGCGCACAGCGCCGCCTTCGAGCACCCTATCCAGTGGTCGAAGGTGCGCACCCCCTGGGCCAGTCCGAGGTCAGGCTTGGGCGGGGAAGGGTGTATCTGATGTGCTGTGAGCACAGCAACTAGGGCAGACTTCCTGGCTGTCTAGGGGCCTGAGGTGGTGCCAGAGTCTCTGAATTCTGAGTGGGTCATGAGCTGGACACGAGGGGGATCCTGAAGCTTTGAAATCCTACTTGGGGCCTGGGGTCCCTTGAACTGAGGATCCAGTGAGCCTCCAGCTTGGGTTCTGGTGGTGATAAAAAGGCCCTGAACCCTGCCTGGGGGTTGACACGGGGAATTCCAAGTCTCAGGCTGTTGGAATCTGCTTGAGGCTCAGAGTAAAACGAAGAATCCTTAGGTTTTGGGTCTAAATGCGGAAGCAGCTACTGGCGATGCCAAGGCCCTTCACCTCTACTAGGTGGGGGTCCGGTGGTGGCTCTGGTCTAGAGCCTGTAACTCTTGAGCCAAAGGTAAGATTTGGGATCCCTGATGCCAGCAATCACAGATCCTCAAGCCCAGGGTCCAACCTGGACTCTTAAGCAGGGGCTTGTGGTCCTTCCTCCTGTTCTCTAGGTCATTGGTCCCTGGGGGTTAAGACAACTTGGTGACCTTGAAGTGATGGGACTCTCCTGAATAACTTGATAAACATAAATGCTTGGGCTCCATCCATGTCACTGAGTCTCTACACCGGGGGCTTAGATTCTGCATCTTGAGAAGTCTCCCAGGTTTATAGATAGTAGTTTGAGAAACACTCTGGGTCTGGTTCAGATGGCTGAGGTAGAAAGTCCTAGCTCCTGTACCCAGCCTGGGGGATTAGCCAGGGGTAAGGAAAAACTTTAACGTTCTGAGGCTGCAGAATTGGGTTGGGGATGAGGCCTGGGAAGGTGGTCTTGAGGCTGTAGTTTCCAGAATCTGGGAAACTGGACCTGCTTCCAGCCCTGCACCTGCTTCGAAGGAGGAGTCCTAGACCTGCTTCGAAGGTGGATGGGGCAGTGGTCCCGAAGCTAGAGCCTGGGCCTCCTTGGGGTGGGGTGAGGGATCCAGATGGGGGCACTTCTCCAAGCCCAGGGCTGGTTGGGCTCCCTGGGAACCAGAGGTGAGCTTGGAGAGCTGGTGTGGGTAGCAGGATTCCCACCCAACTAAAACCCTGCTCATGGTTCCCACAGAGGAGGACTTTGACTGGCCGGCTGCTTGCATTGAGCTGGAGCAGCACTTGTCACGCTGGGCGGAGGATGGGCGTTGGGCTGAGTATTTCTGCCTGGCTGATGGGCACTTTGCATCCATTGACTCAGTGCTGCTGCTTCAGGTGAGATGGGTTTGGTGAGGGGCCAGGCAGGGGTGGGTCAGGTTGACCCTGACAGTATCACCTCACTCCCCTCCCCAGGGTGGGACACTGTGTCTGTCAGGCTCCCGAGATCGAAATGTCAACCTGTGGGACCTGCGGCAGCTCGGGGTGGAACCCAGCCGGGTTCTGGTCAAGGCCCTGGGCACCCAGACAAACAGCACTCACAAGGTGAGGATGGAGAAAGCATGAGGCCTGGGTACGTTGCCATGACTAAGGGTGCAGGTGTTGGCACCAGACCTCGTGGGTTAAAACCTTACTCTACTATTGTTAGTGTGATTTTGGGGTGAGATGGATGACTTCTCTGGACCTTAGTTTCTACTTCTATCCAGTGGTCAGAAAGGATGAGGATGAATGAGATGAACAGTCATTAAGAGCTTCACTCAGATTGGATGCATAGTAGGTGCTCAAGACATGTCAGGATGCCCCGAGAGGCCCAGGGCGGGGCGTCAGGAGGCTGCCCTTAGGGGTCAGCCAGCTCTGAGAATGACTGTCATTTCATGGGAGGCAGCAGTGGAGCAGCACCTCCTCCAGTCAGTGAGGTGGTATAGGCCTTGGAGCCAGGCTGCTGGGTTCAAATCCCCACCTTGGTGCGTCCTGGCTGGGTGACCTTGGGCGAGAAATGCAACCTGTGTGTGACCTCATTTGTGGAACAGGACACCGTACAGTGTCCTCCTCAGTGGGTTTGGTGAGGAATGTCAGCCTGTGCATATTATTTCCTAAGACAGGGACTTTTTTAAAAAATTGATTTTTAGAGAGAGAGAGAGAAACAAACATCGATTTGTTGTTCCACTTATTGATGCATTCATTAATTGATTCTCATATGTGTCCTGACCGGGGATCAAACCTGCAACCTTGGTGTATCAGGACAACACTCTAACCAACTGAGCTGCCTGGCCCCATTTTTTTTTAAAAAAAGATCTTATTTATTTTTAGAGAGAGGGGAAGGGAGGGAGAAAGAGGGAGAGAAACACTGATGTGTGGTTGCCTCTCACATGCCCCCACTGGGGACCTGGCCCGCAACCCAGGCGTGTGCCCTGACTGGGAATCAAACTGCGATCCTCTGGTTCACAGGCCCGAGCTCAATCCACTGAGCTACAGCAGCTAGGGCTTAATGAATTCTTAATCATGTTGTCATGTAGCCTCGAACCATTGCTGGTTCTAAGTCTCTGTGGGACTGGATTTAGGAATATTATTAGATGTGCGGCAGGCATGTCCTGGTGTCCGCAGTCAGACAGACATACAGACTTGAGCTCTAATCTCTACATGGTGCTGACTTGCTCTGTGTTCTTGGGTTGGTTAGCTCCCTCCTCTGACCCTCAATTTAGTTATCTGTGAAATGAGGACTGTCACATGGGTCTGATCCTACAGGGCTGGGTGTGGTCACTGGCAGCGTTGGACCACCGAGTGTGCTCTGGTTCCTGGGACAGCACGGTGAAGCTCTGGGACATAGCAGCTGACGGGCAGCAGTTTGGCGAGATAAAGTGTGAGGGGTCCTGGGGAGGGGGGTTGGGGGGGCGGGACAGGGCACTGTCTGGTCACAGCCCAACATGCTCCTTGTGTCCCCAGGGGCAAGGCAGCTGTGCTGTGCCTTTCCTACCAGCCTGACATCCTGGTAACTGGCACCTATGACAAGAAGGTGACAGTCTATGACCCCAGAGGTGGGCCAGGGGCCTGAATTGGGGATAGCAGGGCTGCCTGGGGGGGTCCCCAGCATCATGCTGGGGAAGGAGGCACTTGGGCCTCACAGCATGGCTGGGGTGACAGTGACATAGGCAGATGCTGACCACTCAAGAGTGCCTGTGGTTGGGGGCGGGGGGGCACTGTGGAGGAAGCTGTACCTCCAACTGGGTGGGGTGAGGGACATAGAGGGCACCCAGAGGGGAGGCCTCAGAGCTATAGACAGCCCCTGAGAAGCCTGGCTCTCCCACTCCCTAGCTGTATGTCGCCAGTCAAGCTTGAACTTCAGTTTTCCTATCTGTAAAATCCGGATAATAACAACTCTAGCCCCATAGGGTTAATGGGAGATGATAATAAGAGCATTGGTGGATTAAATGTTAGTTTATATAAAATGCCTAGAACAAACATTGCCCAGCACATAAGCTTTTGTGACTTTTTTATTCTTATTTTGTGTAATTGAAGGGCCAGTGTGCCTTATCCAGGCAGAGCAGTGGTGGTAGGGGTGCAGAAAACTGCTGGCACTGGTTGGCGTTTTATGTTGGGACTATCCTGTCCACTCTGTACTGAGAGTAGATGGGACGGGAGGTGGGGGCAGGGTGGGGGTAGAGGCTCGGGGTCCTGGGAGGCCCAGATTCGGGGGAGCAGGAGAAGAGAGAGAAGTCATTCGTGAGTTGTGGGGCAGGGAGGGAAGCCAACCAAGGCTTTTGCCACAGAGGACAGAGGCCCTGTATCCTCTGGTAGGTTGGGGGGCCCTTTGAGGGGTGCTGATGTTCCCCTTCTCCCTGGCCCATCACCCACAAAGTTGGCCCAGCCCTGCTGAAGAGCCGGCGGCTGCACTCGAGTGCGGTGCTGGCGTTGCTGGCAGATGACCGGCACATCATCTCGGGCAGTGAAGACCACACGCTCGTGGTGTTTGACCGTCGGGCCAACAGTGTCTTACAGCGGCTGCAGGTGAGCCCTCCCCAGGGTCCTGAGGGACCAGGGCTGTGGCATGGCCCAGCCTGAGCTGCCTCACCCCACGCCCCTCCCACAGCTGGACTCCTACCTGCTCTGCATGTCCTACAAAGAGCCCCAGCTCTGGGCCGGTGACAACCAGGGTCTGCTGCACGTCTTCGCCAACCGGGAGGGCTGCTTCCAGCTTGTCCGGGTCTGCCAGGGCCCTTGGCCCTGTCCCATCTTTCTGGAACTCCTCCCTCTCTCTAGACTTCAGTGGTGGTGGGTGGCTGGCCTTAGGAGAGCCTTGCCTGAGTGTCACTTGTCCCTCCTTCTTGCAGTCCTTTGATGTGGGCCACAGGTCTCAGATCACAGGGATCAAACACTCGCTGGGGACCTTGTACACCACATCCACCGATAAGACCATCCGGGTGAGGCCCCAGGACAGGCCCCCTTCCACGCCACCCCCACCAGCTGGGAGCACACCTCCTGACCTTTGTCTGTTACCCCTCACCAGGTGCAAGTGCCTACAGATCCACCAAGGACCATCTGCACCCGAAGCCACCACAATGTGCTGAATGGGGTGAGGCCCTACCCCACATGCCCTGCCCCACACGCCCTGCTGGCTGCCCAGAGCACCTCTGAGTCTTTATGTCCCTGTCCAGATTTGTGCTGAGGGCAACCTGGTGGTGGCCGCCTCTGGGGGCCTGTCGTTGGAAGTCTGGAGGCTGCAGGCGTGAGGAGGCAGACGTGTGTGGATGTGGATTTGCCAGCCAGCAGGCTGAGGCAAGGCCTCTGTTCTTCGGAGGGGGAGAGCCCTCCCCTTTGCTGGTGCTGCTCCTGCTGTGCCCCACAGGCCTGGGGCACAAGGAGCCTAAGCCACTGCCAGTCCGGGTCCCTGATCTGGGCCCCAAGCCAGGTGAGGTTGGTGTTCCAGCCCACCCAGGGAGCTGATGCCCATCCACAGACCCTGTTTAAGATTTGGACGTCTGCTCTCCCTTCAGCATAAGGGGGAAATAAACTGGCATACTGGTGCTGTGACCTGGAGTGGTGCCTGCTTGGGACCCGGGGCTGGTGCATGGCAGCCTCTGCAGTGTCTGTCTGGGTGTGCCTGTACCCACCTGAGTGCATTCCTGGGATCACATGTCTGTCCCTGGGGAGGTGGGTTGGCTGGCTGTGTGTGTCGTTATTGTAACCCCACCTGGGACCAACTGCATACCCATGAGTGTGAGTGAGGAAGATTCTGGAGGGTGTGGGCACCTACCTATGATGACACCGCTGTGTGTGATGTGTGGACAGGGGTGGTGTGTATGTGTGTGGTGTGCACTGCCATGTGGATAGGGACTGTCCCTGGATGTGTCTGTGCAGAAGGAGAGGGGATCTGCTACGGCACCCACAGATTCCAGGCAGGGAGGGGTATGAGAGACATGTGCTCTTCCGTTGAGAGTACAAGGCATGTGTGTCCCTGTGGCAGTGACCCTGGAGTGGGCCAGGTGTCCCTGCCAGCCCGCAGCTCCCCTTTGCCCCCTACTGCAGCCCACCAAGCCCTGAGGAGCATTTACTTCATGTTTATTGAGTGGTCCTCAGGGCCAATATCATAGGATGGCACAAGGCTTCTTCTCCTTGAAGGGGTTGGTGGCAGCTGGGATGCCCACCAGGAACGGGTCACTCTTGGCTTGCTCCATGCAGAACTGCAGCAGGTCAGAGGCTGCCTTGGACACCTGTAGACCAGCCCAGTCAGACTGACCTTGTCCTGTCCCTCTGCCCCTCCCCCAGACGTGTCCACCTGCCCCCAGCCTCACCTTCATTCGGTTAATGCCTGCCTCCATCCTCAGCTGCTCCACGGCCCGGCGGGCCTGCCCGATGTCGCTGCTGATGGCTGCCTTGCTGGGCATCTGGGGGAGGGTGAGCAGGGCCATAGGCAGCAGGCTGAACACCAGACCTGGGGTCCGAGGGCCACCTGAAGGCCCCCACACCACCTCCCAGGTGCCCTGGGGACTGTGGGGTGGGGGTGGATGCTCCCCCTTTGTCAGAACCACATACCTCAGATAAGGACTCTGGCAGACTCCCGGCTGCTGGTCTCCTGCAGCCTTGCTTTGCCTCCCTCCCCCACCTGCCTGGCCTCTCCAGCCCCCTCCTCCCTGACCCCTGCAGAGACTCTGAAGGCAGGACTCTCATGGAGTGAAATGTCACCAGTGACAGCAGCAGCAGCTGCCTTAGCCAAGGGGTTCCCCGCCCCAGGAGGCCCAGTTACATTGGCAGGAGTGTGGGGCCCTGGCCTTTCACTCACCTGCTTGTTCCCCTGCTAAGTAGCCCCAACACCGTCCTTTGCCAGCCTGTGTCCCCCAATGTGCAGAATGTTCCTGGGCTTGGGTGCAGCTCTGCCTCTCTTCTCCGTCTACATTCACCGCCTGGGATCCACAACACGGGTGACTCAGTCCACTCGCTTATGCCGATGGCTTCCTTTGCCCCATCCCAACCCCATCCTTGACCTCAGATCTACCTGAGGACCCTCTGGCCTCCTTTGTCCACCATACCCATTTCTCTAGTGTCTCTCAACATGGCCAAAGCTGGGCTCTGGCTTGCCTTTCCCTCTGGCCTTCTGCGTCTTTCACCACCATCCACCCACCTGCCCTGGCTCAAATCTCAAGCTCCTTTACTCCTCCTCTCTTTTCAGTATCCCCACATCTAATCTTTTCTTAAGAGCCAGCTGATCAACTTTCAAATTAGGTTCTCAGTCTGGTCACTTCTCTCCACCCCACACAGGCCCCACTCCATCTTTGCTCACTTGGACCAGTGCAGTCATCCTCACCCTGGTCTTTCCTGCCCTCCCACAGGCACCGCCCCTATTTTCAAGGCATGTGGTGGGAACTGTTAAAAAATAAAGCAGAATATAACATGGATGAATTTTGAGGGCATTATGCTGAGTGAAATAAACCAGTCACAAAAGGACACATTTATGATTCCATTACATATGAAGTCCCTAGAGGAGCCAGATTCATAAGAGACAAAAAGTAAAATTGATGGGTGCCTTTTCCCCAGGAGCTGGGGCAGGGGCCTGAGGAGCTGGTGTTCCATAGGGACAGAGTCTGGGATGATAACACATGTTCTGGAGGTGAATGGTGGTGATGGTTGCACAACACTGAATGTGCTTAATGCCACTGACCTGTACACTAAAAGTGGTTAAGAGAGTGAATCTTATGTGGAGCCTCTCACTTCCTTTTTAAAATTCTCCAGAGTTTTCTCAGCCTCTTAGGATGAAACCCACCCTCCTTACTACAGCCCATAGGGTTCTGCCTGGTCTGGTACCTTCTGCTCCTCTGAATTCATTTATCAACCTCTCCTTGGTTTATTCCTCATGGATCATGCTGGTGCCCTTGTGTGTGTTTCATTCGTTCATTCATTATCTTTGCTGAGATCCCAATATGTGTCCAGCACTGCTCAGTGTAAGGGGATTGGCAGTGAAATTAGACAAAACCCTGTCCTCACAGAGCTTCCCTTCTAGTCAGACAAACAAGAGCAAACACAATGTATTAAGAGCTATGAAAGACAATACAAGCAAGGTAAGGGCAAGACTCAGTGATATGGGCAGGCATCCTGGAGGAAGTGACATTTTGAACCGAGGCCCAGAAATTATCCCTGTTTGAAAAAAATGACAGAAGAGCACTATTTTGTAGGGAGAATTTGGCAGATGTGCTGGGGCATAGGTGTAGGTTGTGAGACGGGCAGCCATCCAGCTCAACTCCCCAGTTTTTAGCCTGGCTGGTGAGGGCTATTGCTGAGATGTGGAAGGCTGCAGCAAGACCTGGGTTAGGTGGAGAGAAGGCTGAAGTGAATTCGAGATCCAAGTGGGAATTTCAAGGATTTCAAGAAGGATGTTCTGTTTCTTCAATTAAGTTGGCTCATTTCCAGCTTCAGGGCCTTTACACTGGCTGTTCTCTCTCTCAATGGTGGGCAGTGGGGAAATGGCCTCCCCCCATAAGTTCACATATGGGGCCTTTATTAGCCTTCTGACTTTGGTTGAAATGTCACCTCCTTGGTGTCCTTCCTCAACCACCTATCCCTCCATCTAAAGCCACTGTTGTTAACTTTCTATCTTCCCAATCAAACTGGGCTCCAGGAGGGCAGGGCCCGCATCTTGTTCACTGCTAAGTCTGTACCTAGCACAGAGCCCAATGTGTGGTGCAAGTCGGACTCCATAAATGTAGAGTGAATGATTAATGAGGTCCTCTCTGGACCAGACCCTGTACATAGGAGGACCCATGAGATACAGTCCCCACCCTTGAGGGTCTCACAGTCATCCTGGAGGGAAGGAGATGCCAGCCCTAGATCCCAGAGGAGATGCCTTACCCAGAGGAAGGTCAGGGAAGGCTGTCCCCGGGAAGACCATGTGGAGGCTCTGGAGACTTTCTAGGCACAGAAAAGAATATTCTATTTGATGAGAGATGCTCACTGACATAAACTGACAGTTCCTGATGAATTCTGCCCAAAGGCGACGTCTAAGAAGCCATTCTCCCCGTGGGACAGAAACCGGTGAACAAGCGCCCCGCAACGCGGCGGGTCTCCAGTAGGCGGCAATAAAAGTAGTGCTCGCTCTTCGTGTGAGAAGAGAACGCGCGAAAAGAAATGTCTCTAAGCAGTGTCCCTATTTCGGAACTAGCCACGCCCTGAACCACCGGTATCGAAGAAGTCATGTGACTAAAGCGAGTTCCGGTCTATCTCCTCCAGCTTTCTTCTGAGCGTGGTTTGCAGCAGTCTCATAGAGAAGCTGCAAACCACGCCAGGGCTTACAGGGTTTCGAGGCCAAGGGGGCCTGGCTTGGGGTTGCTCTAATCTGAGAGCGCGGCTGCAGGAGCATGGAGGGTCCTTCCGAGGGGAAGGCGCCCGCGGCGGCCCTGGCCGCGGTGCTAAAACACAGCTCGGCGCTGCCGTCGGAAAGCATTCAGGTTCAGGGCTACGACTTCAACCGTGGCGTGGACTACCACGCGCTGCTTGGAGCCTTCGGCACCACTGGTTTCCAGGCCACCAACTTCGGGCGCGCGGTACATCAAATCAACGCCATGGTGAGGGCCGGGGCGGGACTTCCTGGGTGTAGGGGGGCGTGACCTCTAGTAGCACCAACGCGGTGCCCTACTTGGAAGGGGTGGGCTTTCCTGGGAGAAGAGGCGTGCCCTTTGCTGGGTCGATCCAATAGTTGGAGGGAGGTGGGTCTTACTTGCGGCGGGGGTTTCTGTGTTGGGGCGGGGAAGTTGCCCCTCCAGCAGCGGCAACCTGGTATCAAGAAGGGGTGGGGACTGATTTTAGATAGGGGGCAGGTTATGGGTGGGTGGGTGTGTGTGTGTGAATCGGAGAGGCCTGGGGCTAGACGTGTGTGTGTGTGAATCGGAGAGGCCTGGGGCTAGACCGTGCGGCTGAGAGTGGAATTGTAAGAAGAGCTAAGTTAGGGCCGGGCCTTGAATTTGCTCTTCCCAGTGGGCAGGGGACTGGATCCTGCAAATGAAATACTCTCTGGTTCCCAAGGGGGCAAAGCGTGAGCGTGTGTCCTGAGAGCTGTGAAAGGGACAGAGGCTGCACATGGGGCTCCTTCCCTTGGTTCCAGGTAGAAGTGGTCCCCTTTCTCTGAATGGGCAGGGCCTCAGGCAGAGTCTGATTCTGAAAACCGGTGGGGCACTTGGGCTGGAGTTTGGGTCCAGAGGTTAATTTGACCCCGTTCTTACACATAGATAGAGAAGAAGCTGGAGCCTCTGCCAGAGGATGAAGACCAGCACACAGATCTGACCCAGAGCCGTCGCCCACTCACTGGCTGCACCATTTTCCTAGGCTACACGTCCAACCTCATCAGTTCAGGCATCCGTGAGACCATCCGTTATCTCGTGCAGCACAACATGGTGGGGAGCAGATGGGGCTGTGGCCTTGGCCTCTTTGGATATCAAGCGCAATAACATTATTGGTCATTTTAGTAAGGGAGAGAGAGAGATAGGTCAGTTTTAAGCAGAGGGACAGGGTTGAGTTTTGTTTAGCAGCGGAGCTTCCTGCAAGGTTACTAGATGAGAGTTGGGAGTTAGAAGACCTGCCCAGAATGAGGGCAAGGCCCTCCGTTCTGGGCCAACCGCACTGCCTGTGGCTGCAGGTGGATGTCTTGGTGACTACGGCAGGGGGCGTTGAGGAGGATCTCATCAAGTGCCTGGCGCCCACATACCTGGGCGAGTTCAGCCTCAGGGGGAAGGAGCTACGTGAGAACGGGATTAACAGGTGGGGGGGTGGGGTTGAGTGGTGTTGGGGTAGGGGAGCTGGGCCAAGGGTCCTGAGGCCTGATGCCTATCTGCCTCCCGTTCCCAGGATCGGGAACCTGCTGGTGCCCAATGACAATTACTGCAAGTTTGAGGACTGGCTGATGCCCATTCTGGACCAGATGGTGCTGGAGCAGAACACAGAGGTGGGGCTGAAATATTCTGGGGGGCCAGCATGGTGGCAGTCAGGGAGGGCACTGCTGGCTGAAGTTGATATCCCCTCCTAGGGTGTGAAGTGGACACCTTCCAAAATGATCGCCCGGCTTGGAAAAGAGATCAACAACCCAGAGTCAGTGTATTACTGGGCCCAGAAGGTGAGGGGTTGGGTGGGGGCAAAGATGCCCATGTTAACTTGTTCCATCTTCATGGTCACCTGGGAAATCTGTACTGTTCTCATCAACTGCACTCTTAAATGAGGAATTTCAGAGAGGTTAGGCAGTTTGTCTGAGGTCACACACCTATTGAGTGTGCCCCTCATATCCTGGCTTTACTGCAGGACCATCTGGGAGCAGTTAGGGCAGTGTTTAGCAACCCTCCACCCCCACTCTGGGGCCTGTTGTAGGGTCTCCTGCTTCTCAGAGGCAATGAGATCCAGCAATTGGAAAAATAACAGGAGTTGCCTTTCTTTATATGCCAGGCATGGCCCTAAGTGTTTTGTGTGGATTTTCCTACATATGCTTCCTCATCTGTGAGGGAGGTACTGTTGGTACTGTCATTTTACAGTGAAGGAAACTGAAGCCCAGAAAAGTTAAACACCCTGCTTAGAGTCAGGCAGAGAGGGAATGCTACCAGAATGGGGACTAGGCTACCCTCACCAGGTTCTGACTCCTGCTACTGTCTTGTCCTGTTCTCCCTCAGAACCACATCCCTGTATTGAGCCCAGCGCTCACAGATGGTTCGCTGGGTGACATGATCTTTTTCCATTCCTACAAGAACCCAGGCCTTGTCCTGGACATCGTGGAGGGTGAGGTGCTGGGGCCAGAGGAGTGGGGGAGGATGGCTGGCTGGGTCCAGGGCCTGACCATAGTGCTCTTCCCCAGACCTGAGACTCATCAACACCCAGGCCATCTTTGCCAAGCGCTCTGGCATGATCATCCTAGGTGGGGGTGTGATCAAGCACCACATTGCAAATGCCAACCTCATGGTGAGTGGGGACAGAGCACCTGGTCCCTAGTGTGGGGGTGGCACTTAGGCCTGCTACGCAGAGATGTCTGTATGCTTGGTCTGTGCCATTTGCTGGAGGCACTGCCATGTACTAAACAAGCCAGGATTCCTGCTTTCCTGGGACTGATGTTTAAGTTGTGTGAGCCAGCAAGTAGGTGGCAATTACTGCCTTGGAGAAAATGAGTGATAAGATGGTAATAAAAAGGGGCACTTCATATTCCCCTTTCTGGGGAATGTGATCTGTGAGTAGATGCCTCCCTTGAGCCATGTGGTTGCCTGGTGGAAGGGTTCCTGGCAGAGGAACAGCCAGTGCAAAGGCTCTGAGGTGCTTGAAGTAAGTCAAGGAACAACCAGGATGCCTATGAAAGGGAGAGTGGGGGGTAAAGTGAGGAGGTGGCAGGCAAGTCTTGCAGGGCCTTGAGGGCTCAGGGCCTTCAAGCTGCTGTAGGGGGAACAAATGAGGCCAGGACCAGGATGGGGACCAAGGTGGAGGAGATGGGGACCAAGGAGGAGACGGGATCTTCTGAAGGTAAGAGTTGGTGAGCAGATGTGGGAGGGCCCTTGCTACCTAGGAGCTGGGTCTGGGGAAACACTGTTCATCATTTTCCCAGTAACCCTCCAACCCCTCACTGCCTAGGTGTTGACTTAGGGCCCCTACTTGCAAGGGAGGGGCCACCAAAGGGCCCTCCTTTATTTAGGACACATGGCTCAGCCTCCCTAGCTGCAGTGCCGTGTCTCCTGTGACTGGCTGACTACCTACCCTGCTCCTTCCCACAGCGGAACGGGGCTGACTATGCTGTCTACATCAACACGGCCCAGGAGTTTGACGGCTCTGACTCTGGTGCCCAGCCGGATGAAGCTGTCTCTTGGGGCAAGATCCGAGTGGATGCACAGCCTGTCAAGGTGAGGGCCAGCCAGCTGGCTGGGGTGCAGTCCCCAAACTGCTGCTTTGGGCCCCATAGTTAACTGAGTTCCCTCTGCAGGTCTGTGCTGATGCCTCCCTGGTCTTCCCCCTGCTTGTGGCTGAAACCTTTGCTCAGAAGGCAGATGCCTTCATGCATGAGAAGAACAAGGACTGAGCTGTGACCCCAGGGAGGGCCCCCCATATTTATTAGTTTGCAGACCCAGCCTCTTCTCTATTTCTTGGTTTATGGCACGTCCAGAATAAATGGTCCCAGTGGTCCAGAGTCTGCATCTGAGTGTGTCCTTGGTGGTGGTGGGTTCCCTAGCTTCAGCCAGTACCACTCTCAGCATCATAGGCCTCTTCCCGCCAGTAATGGATGTTGCCCCCCACAGCAGTCAGAAGGCAGGGCTCTGTTGGGTGGTAGGTGAGTGACTGCACCACACCAGGACCCACTTGCAAGGCCAGTGCCAGGACACCCTGTAGAACAAGAGGGAGGGAGCAGTTACCAGTGAGCTCTGCCTACCCCAACATGCAGCCGCCTGTTTCTCGTGCACAGGTGTCAAACACGAGGCCCTTGGGCTGAATCTGGCCCAGCACCTTGTTTCTAGGCAGCAGTGTGGAGCTCCTTACCCCTGGTTAAGGAGTAGTTAGTTACATTAATACAGTCCTAAAACTCCATTCGGCCCTTTGAAGGCAATCACGAGGCTGATGTGGCCCCCAGTGAAAATGAGTTTGACACCCCTGTTCTAGTGGCTTTCTAGTCACTGTAAACCTGGTCTGCCCCAAAACAAGCCCCTTAGTGGCTCTGTACTCCCAGGTACTCAGGCCAAACCCTTGAGAGTCTTTTCCACACTTACATCCCTTTATCAGTAAATCTTGGTTCTGCCTGTAGACTTTGTCCAGAGGTCACCCATTCTTTCCACCTTCACGGCCATGACAGTGCTGTGAGCCGGTTGTTTCTAGCTTTCAGCTTCCTCCCACCCCTGCCGTGGGGGATCTGCCTGTCCAGTTGGCAACACCAGTGCCCGCACTTCATCAACTTGCAGACACACTTCCACATACACAGTCTCTTAAGCAGGCTCTGGTTCCAGTTTTTACCTTGAAATGTCCCCTCATGTACCCTTCCTTTGTTGTGACCTCTCAAGAAGCAGGCAGAATGCTGGCACTTTCTTAGCTCCCTAAGAGCTGACCCGTTGAGTCCCCAAGGTCCTTCCATCTTCTTAGGGAACTTACATTCCCTGGCCAACAAGACCCAGCACCCACATCTCCTTCCATGAGGCTCTCCAGCCCTGGTTCCATTAAGTCTAGTCATTGTGTTCTCGGCCCCGTGCCAGCACCAGGCTGGGATGCATCAGGATGGGGCTCATCTCCCCTAGGGTCGGTCACCACCATTGGCTCCCCTCCCTTAGGGCCAGTCCCAGTAGGTCTGCCTGGCACTGGTGGCCCCTGCGTGACCTGGATCTCGCGGCTGCCACTGCCATCCTAAAGTGCTTCTACTTCCTGACCAATGTGTGCCATACCTCCAAGCCTTAGCACATACTGTTCCCTTTGCCAGGAAAGCCCTTCTTATCTTCTCTCTCACTCCTTCCAGCCTCCAGTTCTAATAGCACTCTCTTTTTTAGGTCTGGGAGTGACTGGGGTAAGGACAAAGGGGGACAGGGCAGGTGCTCTGGTGCAGTGTGGAGGTGGGGAGGCTCACCTCCACCAGGTCCCAAAAGAACACCTTTCCGTCCTCGGAGCAGCTGACCACATGTGTGTCACGCTCGCTCAGGCAGCAGTCCAGCTTGTACTCCTGGTTCTTATGGCCTGTGTACCTGGGGGTGGGTGGGATCAGTGGGCTTGGGACTTACCAAGGGCAGAGGTGGGGGGAGGGGCCCCATACCCCAAGTACTCACTGCCCTAGCAGCTCCCCTGTGTCCTTGTCTAGAAGTCTCAATGTGGAGTCCAGGCTGGACACCAGGGTGCACTGCCCATCCCGGCTGAAGCAGATGCAAGTGATGGGACCTGGGGGGCGGGGTGGGTAGGTATATGAGGCTGAGGCCCCCTTTGCTGCCCCTACCTCCCCCCCCACCTCCCACAGCCTGGCCATACTCACTGCCCACGTAGTCTGAGAAGAGCTGACCCATCCTTAGGTCATAGCGCCTCAGCCGACCATCCACAGAGCTGTAAGACGGGGTGGATCCAACTGAAGCCTCAACTGGGACTAGTGGTTCATGGCTCTGGAAACTCTGTTACCATACACTTCTACCTGGCCAGGGCCTAAAGACATGGCTAAGCCGGTCTCTCCCATACCCCCTCACTGTCACATTCCCTCTTAGGGCTGGCCATGGAAAACATGCATTCAAGTGAACACACGAGTGGACTTCTGAGGCACTGGCTTTTAGATTCAGACCCAGGGACCAATCAGGGATTACTCTATTTGTTTCTGATAGGTACCAAGCATCCTTTCTGGGCCAGATGCTGTAGTGGGAAGGGTGGGCTTGAGACACTGATTCAGTGAAGTTGGGAGAAACTTCTGGAGCCTCATTGACTGAGGGTAACCTATGAAGGCCTCCCCAAGGAGAATGATATATTAACATGGACTTGAAAGACAAGCAGAAGCCAACCTCTTGGGGTCGAAGGGGAGATGTGTGAGAACAAGGCTAGTCAACAGGCTAGGCAGCCTGAACTCCCCCCACAGTGGGAATGGCATTCCCTCTGGTTGTGGCAACACTTGAGCAGCGCTGCATGGGACTGTTTTTTTAAACTGTCTTCTGCAGCCCTGGCTGGTATAGCTCAGTGGATTGAGCACGGGCCTGCGAACCAAAGGATCAAGGTTAGATTCCCAGTCAGGGCACATGCCTGGGTTGCAGGCCAGTCCCCAGCAGGAGCAAGTTCCCAGCAGGGGATGCATGAGAAGCAACCATACATTGATATTTCTCTCCCTCTCTCCTTCCCTTCCCTTCTAAAGGTAAATAAAATCTAAAAAAAATTTTTAAACTCTTCTGCAGCTAGAATATCAATCCTATAAGGGCAGGATTTTTCTTATATCCCTGTCTTATTCCTTGCTATACTGCTCATTGAGAAAAAAGAGTGGCCCACAGGAAGTACCTAAATACACTTGGAATAAGTAGTAGAAGGTCAGTCTAGGTAAAGAAAGAGCAATTGCAACGCTCCTGGGGTGGGAGCATGTTTATCATATTTACTTAAAAGGAGGCTGGGAATAAAAGCTGAGAAGTCAGTTGGGACCAGACTGCACAGGGCCTTGGGCACCCCAGTGAGGAGAGTAGACATTAATCTGAGCACAGAGGCAGCTATGATCCCCAGTGGCACCTGAGGAAGGGCAATGCCCTGGTTCCACTCACCCTGACAGAACCTCATGGTCTGACACCTTCACACTGGATACACCATCCTTGGCTTCGTCCAGCTTCTGCACTGGGTCAGGCTTCCGAGAACGGCAGTCCCAGCAGCGGATAGTGGAATCGATAGAGCCTGTGAGGCCGGTATGAAGGTGAGGTCAGATCTGGGGAGTCAGGGGGAGCACCCTAGGCTCCCCTGCACAGGCACTAACTACACTTACCAGACAGGATGACCGTGGCTTCTTCATTAAACTGCACCGTGTTTACCTTCTGAAAAACAGTAAACGCCCTCAGAGAAAGACATTGCTCCGGGATCCCCTCTCTACCTTATGCAGGTCTTATATCGGAAACTAAGGTTTCCGAAAAGTACTCGCTTGGGTGTAACCTTATTATTGTCCTCCGTGGACTAATTCCTGTTTCCCACTTCCGGGCTCAAAGTTTCGGCTTTTGTACATAATGGTGGGAATACTGGAAGCTGGATTTTGGAGGAATGAGATAAAGGCAGGGTTCCCAGTGCAGATTAAAGTGAGGACAAACTCTAGAAGTAGGGACGTTAAAGGGTTCACCGCTACGAGGCTAGGTGAATGCCCTGTAATGGGGGTGCTCTAATGAGGCCTCGTGTTGCTTGTACTCACCCCTGCGTGACCCCGGAATTTACGCACGACCTGCCCGGATGCCACATCCCACAGCACCACCGCCTTGTCTCCGCCGCCGGAGCAGAGACTGCTATTGTCAAAGGAGCTAAAGGGGAGAGAAAGGGAGGTCAGTGTCGACCTTCGATCCCCGCCTCAACGTCCCCATTCCGACCTGACCCCAGCTCACCCAGCCGCGTCCAGCACCTCGTAGCCGTGGCCACTGTACGTCCGCAGCAGTGTCCCCCGTAGCGGGTTCCACAGCTTCAGGGTCTTGTCGCTGCCGCAAGTCAGGCAGTAATTGCCATCCACTGGGGAATAGCACGCGAGGGTTACTGGGCAGCCAACCTCGGGAAGCGGGAGGCAGAGTCGGAATAAAATGACGGTGCTCACCATTAAAGCGCACGGCTCGCACTGCTCCCTGCCCGCAGTCCAGCGTCTTCAACCGTTTCTGCGGCAGCTCCGGACCCCGCGGCTTTGGCTCCGGGAAAGACATAGCTCTGGGATTCCTTCCTCGCTGCCTTGTATCGGTCTGAACCAAGGTTTCCGAACCTTATTCGCTTGGCTGTAACTTTATTATTGTCCTCCGTGTACTACTTCCTGTTTCCCACTTTGGCTTTTTGGATATAATACTAGGAATATGGAAGGCTGATACTAGGTTCAAGGTTTCTTCCCCTACTTCCTGCTTCCATTAAACATTGTTGGCTTCTTCTAATTCTCCATCTTCTGACTGGAGGAGTCCTGGCCTCCCGCCGCTAGGAATAGAAGCGTGAGGGCTGCGGGTGTTACTGTAAAAATCACCCTCTATTTCTGCACCGGAAGGGGCAACTCTCGCAGCGGAAGGGGCGCGATCTCCGCCTCTCCGCCTCGCTATGTCTACAAACAATATGTCTGACCCACGGAGGCCGAATAAAGTGCTGAGGTGAGGACCCTAGCGTCATGGGAAAGTGGTTCGGTTTGTGGGTCGGGACCTAGGGAAGCGCTAGTTCATCATGGGGGCGGGACACGAGTGCCTTTCACCTGGGTTGTGCGATTGTGCCGCAGGTACAAGCCTCCGCCGAGCGAATGTAACCCGGCTTTGGATGACCCGACGCCGGACTACATGAACCTGCTCGGCATGATCTTCAGCATGTGCGGTCTCATGCTCAAGGTGGGCAGGGCTGCGTATCTCTGCCTGGCTGCGAGGCTGGGGGCGGATTCGTAATGAGGTGGGGCGGGGTCTGAGGGGGCGGGGCTGGGGTGAGGTTGGACCGAGAAAGCCAGAGCCTTGGGAAAAACCAGGGATCCGGGTCAGTGTGGGTGTGTGGGGGAGGTTGATGTGAAGGTGGGACCAGACTCTAAAGCAACTTGGAAGGGATAGTGGAGAAAGGGTGGGGTCCTTAGCATGATAGGGTATGTAAAAGGCTAGCAGTCTTTTTAGGCTTTAGGGAAATCTGTACCTCGAGTAGGCTCTGGGTAGATAGGACTGAGGATCTCCTGGGGGCTGGGGGACAAGGTTCAAGCTGCACCAGTTGGAGCCAGTGTGTTGGAAATCCGTGCGTGGGATTGCCCCTTTTCTTCCACTGACCTAACCTGGCCATCCACCCGCCTTTCCCCAGCTGAAGTGGTGTGCTTGGGTTGCTGTGTACTGCTCCTTCATCAGCTTCGCCAACTCCCGGAGCTCTGAGGACACTAAGCAAATGATGAGTAGCTTCATGTGAGGCTGGGCCTGGAGAAGGAGGGACTCCTGATAAGGGGAGGGAGGACCCAAGCTTACTCATCCTGACTGACACCTCTCTCCGGTCCCAGGCTGTCCATTTCTGCCGTCGTGATGTCGTATCTGCAGAACCCTCAGCCCATGACACCTCCTTGGTGATGTCAGCCTAGAGGGGTCACATCCTGGACCCCTCTATACACCTCCCTCCAGGGTTGATCCTTGGCTGCTCAGCCTCCTACTCTCAGCTGCTGGCTGTCCTGGGCTCCCCTGGGTAGGGGAGTGAGGTAGTCCCAGGGTCCACAGCTGGATGGAAGAAATCTGGACTTTTCCTGCTGGTCCCACTTCTGCTGGGGCAGAGAGGAGAATACCCTGGGCCTACTACTCCTGCCTTCCTTTCCTACCCTGCGTGCTGCTGGGGGAGATCCTGTCCATGTTTCTAGGTGTATTCACTCCTTTTCTTGTTGAAACCAGTTAATAATAAAGTTTTGCATTCTGGGTGTTCTCTGAGACTTCTTCTGTGCATCGCAGTTGCTGTCCTAGAAGGGCTTCAGTTCCTTTACTTAGGCCTGTAGTGAGGTCCCAGTTTGGAGCCTTGTGGTGTTTCACTTGCTTACTTACAGGCTTCCTGCCTTAAGTCAGCTGCTGGGGATAGTACAGTGACCTCCTTCTGACAACTCAGCAGATGGCCTGCTGACCTTAGGAATCTGGGCTTTGACTTTTTATCAGAGGAATGAGGTAATGTCAGTGAGCTAGATGGACTGATAGGGAATCAGAAAGGCATGAAAGATTGAGTCCTTCCCTTCTGTGGAGGAGAGACTGGACTGCTGCCAGACCGAGAACAGGACCTGGGCTAGAAGAAGGAGATTGCTACTGTAAAACCCCCTCAAACTGTCTGATTGTATTTGATGTTTATCCTGACACAAGTCAACACCCCTCTCTTGCCTCCTGCTATATGTTGGTTCTTTGAAAAGTTGTCTTGACCTGGTCAAACATGTGAGGTAAATTCTCATACCTGGTAGCATTCATGTACTAGTACGTATGGACTATTCCTCCCTTTAGTCTATACAATTCATTGGCACCTGCCAAACATCATGGGAATTTATTTAAACTTGCAGCCACTTAAGACACACCTCTATGTCAGTTTCCCTTGAACTATTAATTACCAGAGTGCAGTGGCAGCTTCTTTCATTGGTCTTTCTCCACCCTGTGCTGCTTATGGAGGTAGATTTTCAATCTCGGGGCTTTCCCCTGGGTCTGCATGTACTAAAAATTGGCCAGCCAGCCAGGAGACCAAAGAAATGATCTTTGGGAAAGGGGATCAATCTGACTTGTCGACCTCTATGTGGAGGGGTGGCTTGTATGTTAGGTATATGTGGGCTGAAATATGAGTACAGGGATGTTCTCAAAACTCTGGCTCTTTTTATGTACATCTTTAAGGAACCGCCTGCAGCAAGGCAGGAAAATTTATGGCTGTGAGTATAGGCTGGTCACAGATGCTCACCTAGAGACAAAAGATGGGCTTAGAACATTAGAGGAAGAACTGAAACTGGGAAAATAGTAGAATGTCTAGAACTCTGTTCGCATCAGGACTGGGTGATAAAGGTGGGAGGCGGAGCAGGGAGGAAGGTCCTTTGAACAGATCCCACCCTTTTTTTGGAAGCCGTGAGGTCTCTGTTTGCACCTGTATGTTTGTGTGTGTCTATATTTGTGTTATGTTTGTGTGTCATTTTCTACTTCCAATGGTATTGTTGACTTATAAAAGAGCTATGTTTAATTGGTTTAAAGGAATTAAATGCTTATATAAATTAAGAATTGGGTATTCTAAAATTCTCAGATTCAGAAACTAAACGAATGCTTTTCAGAATCATATGATCTGGGGAAATATTTGATATTAAAGCTAGTTTAAGTATATTGCTTTAATTAAAACAGACATCTCTTTAGAGTTATCAGAGTTAAATTTGATGCCTTTATTTTATCTAGGCTTGAAATTTGTCAGCAAAAGTAATAACAGAATATGGGCTGCATTAAAAAAAGAATATGGGCTGATTTTGTCTAAAATCTCATGAAGTTTTTGTGGGCAAACCTAAATACAATTGTTAAGAACTAATAACTCAGCCCTTACTAGTGTGACTCTGCAAAACAAAGGGTTGCCAGTTTGATTCTAGGTCAGGGCACATGCCTGGGTTGTGGGTTTGATGCATGGGAGGCATCAAATGCCTTGGTAAAAATACACACTTTAGACCTGGCTGGTGTGGCTCAGTGGATTGAGCGGCAGCCTGTGAACCAAAGGGTTGCTGGTTCAATTCCCAGTCAGGGCACATGCCTGGGTTGTAGGCCAGGTCCCTGGTAGGGGGCGCATGAGAGGCAACCACACATTGATGTTTCTCTCCCTCTCTTTCTCCTACCTTTCCCTTCTGTCTAAAAACAAATAAAATATTTAAAAAAAGCACTTTAGCAACTGAACCATCAGTAGACACTGCAGATAGTACACTGAAAGATATGAAAAGATGATAGTGCCCCAATAGGATAGCACATAGCTAAGGAGGCAGGGCTGGGCTGCCTTTTAAATACACCTGGTCAGTACAGTTAGTTACTGAATGCAGGTTCTATCTCCCCTATAACCCATAGGCAGCGGGGTTGGTGGAACAGAAAAATGGTGTCCAAAACAGATAATTACTAATTGGAAAACCTACTGTGACCAGGTATACAAAGATGTTTTCCCAAGTGTTAATATACTGAAATGACCAACCTGTGGGGTCTGTTGCTCCAGATGCCAGGCTAGGAATGCAAATGAGGCACCCAATATGGTAAAAGTGTGACAAACAAAGGAGACAGAAAAGTCCTGACACTTGCCATGGACCAGTGGACCATGGTATTGATGGCACTAGGCTCTGTTTTCCCTGGAGCATGGAACATTTACTAGAATCTGTGATGGGATGTTATGCTGGGATGGTTCGGGTACTTCATGTCTCTAGTAGGGGAGGAACTGCTCATTTTCCTGTAGGGCCTGTTACCCTGATGTAAGTCAAGACCCATGGAGACAGGCTCTGTGTGGACTGGTACATGCACCCTTGAAAGAGGGGAAAACATAGGGGTCCTGATCTAATATACTCTTCTCTTTGTTCACCTCCTTAGTACCAGAGAGCACCACTTCTTCCTGACCAACAATTGTGATTTACACAGCCTGGCCAGTTCCCAGCACCACAGCTACATTAACACCTAAAGATCAGACTATACATATAATTCTCATAAATCTCCTGATTCAGGTCCCTACTAAATACCTGTCTTTCTGACCTTTGAATTCCTGCTGTTCCTGTAACATCCAGTTACAGGTGTGTGTGTGTGTGTGTGTGTATGGGATGGGGGCTATGCCACATCCAAACTGAATGTTGTGTTCTTATACCAGATGAATCTACTAGTATTTCTTCTTTGTTAGCGCATATGAAAACTCAAGTAAATGCCTTACATGACCCAGCCCCAAGCCTAAGTGACTTATTAACTCACTGGGTTGGGTCCTGGCAGGTGGGGGGAAGCATGATAGAAAAAGTTGTCAGTCATATCAGGACTGCTTCTTTTAATTTGTCTCTTGTATGTGTCTGTACTGTTGTTGCAGACTGTGTTTCCAGTGAGGTCAGTTGGCAACTAAGAGAGCTACCTCCCTGCTACTGAAGCCCCTCACTGACCACTCGGGTTGTCTCAGGGAAGAGGAGGTCATGTGAAACTCTAAGAGCCAGTCATGAGAGAGTGTGGAGGAGAGACTGTTCTGTGATGTGACCTCTGCTGGACCTGAGAGCTGGACCTGGGCCAGAATGCGGAAATTGATTACTGCAAATCTCTCTTAGAGACTGATCGTATTTGATGTTCATTCTGAAATAAATCAGTACCCTTCCTTTCCTTGCCTCCTGCTATGGGCTGGTTTCGAGAACAAGTTGTTGTCCTAAACTGTTCAAGCCCATGAAGTAATTTCCATACCTGGTAGCATTCATGTAATAGTATCCATGCATGATGTTCCCCCCTTTAAGCTATATAACTATTTGGCACCTGCCAAGCAATGCAGGAATCCATTTCCTCTTGCTGACACCCAAGACATACTTCCTATATAAGTTACCCTTAATCTCCATCAGTGACCACCTTGGAGTGGCCAGTTTCTTTCTTTCTTTGGTCTTTTCCTACTCTCCTATTATAGAGTTAGATTTTTAGTTTTGGGCATGTACAAACACGGAGAATTCTCCCAGTCAGGCTGGGTGCCTCCCACCCCCCAGCACTCCAAGGGAAGTTCCTTTCCCCAACGTCTCAATCCCCACTGCACTGGACAGGACCCCCATTAACCCTTGCTCCTAGCCAGGTAAGGTCCCTCTAGGACCCTAGCCTTGAAAGTTAATGGACCATGCACTCATTCTGCCTTCTAGGCCAACCCGGCACCAGTAGGAAAATCTGAGCCCTCTCTACTTAAGGGGACAAAGGGGTACTACAAGTCCACGCGTAGGCGGCGACACACTAAAGGCTCCTCTGGCCAAACCAGCAGCCCGAAGGTGGAACAAGACCGGTGCCCCAAGGAGCACCCAGAGCCAAGGCCTCAGTCCCACTAAGAGCGGAGCTGCCCCGCCCTCATAAGCGCCTATTGGCCAGGCCAGGTTCTGGAGGCGGGTCCTTCACCCGGACTTAGTCTGGCGGAGAACACCCTGGAGGCAGTAGTGGCTGCTGCGGTGGTGGCGGGGCTATGGGAGTCGACGCGTGGCCTTCTAGAGTCCGTGCTGGCGGCCGCTGGGGTGCAGTGGGGCCACCGATGCCACCTCTTTCTTTACTATTTTTGTTTTTAGCTCTGCCTAGCTCTCGGGCTGCGGGATACAAGGTGAGCGGGGCCCGTGAGCGGAAATGTCCACGAGTCAGAGAGAAGCCCTGAGTAGGGTCCGGAGGGGTGGATGGGTCTATTCTGTAGGTGCCTAGTGAATGGTTGCTGATATGACAGCGTGGTCTGAGTACGTGCTTGGCGTGAGTGAGAGGTCTGGCTCCGTGCGTCTCTGTGAGAACGGGGCTGCCTGTACCTGCCTCTTGCTTCTCCGGGTCGGCTTGCCTGGACTGCATGGATTGAACTGAATGATTGAGTGCGTGTATGTGTGTGTGTGTGTGGGGGGGGTGGTGGTGGTGGTGGTGGCAGGGGAGAGATGGTGCTGGGTGAGACCTGGAGCTCTGCAGTCAGCTGGCCTGGAGTTCGAGCCTGCCTCCTCCACTTCCTGGCTGTGTGGGCCAGTCCCTACACTTCTCTGATTTCAATGTTCTCATCTGAAAACGAGATAATATTATCCCCATCCTGCAAGGTGGTTGCTCGGTGCTTACAGATACTTAATAAACGTTAGCTACTACTATTATTATTTTCCCAGGGTGCGAATGAGAGTGGCCTTGAGGAGTTGTTCCACTAGGGAGTTGTATCTGTGAGCACAACTATGTGTGTTTCCTCCCTGGAAGGGCCTGGCCCTTCCTCTCTGAGTCACTCACCTCTAGATCCAGT